CTCATTTTAATTATTGCCATGTGTCGTGATCCAGAATAGATCTTGGTATTGACACACTTGTGCTAGCACTTTTAATTTTTTGAAAAAATAAAACAGTCCTTTTAAAAGAACTCAACACAGCAAATGGGTTAACTTAATAGCAAATGGGTACCCTTCAAAAAAATTTTTTTAATCGTTAAAATGGACCTTTCACAATTTAATTTATAGTTAAAAATGATCCTTCATAAGTTAGTTTATCATTAGTAAAGATCTTTCATAAAACTTATCATTTAAAAAGCGAAGGCAACGACGTCTTTAATTCATACAATTAAATTATTCATACATTGCGTCTTAAATTGTAATTTCCTGAAGAAAAAAAATGGTTATTTTGTTTAATTTTTCTCAAAAAGGACCTTATTTTCCAATATAAACAGAATTAAAAATACTTTTTCAGTTTCACATTTTCTTTTCTTTCTTATCCTTTTTTCTCCCTAGAAAAAAGAAAAGAAAATTGTCTAAATTAAAATCAGAATTCGTGAAATGAATGAAAAGGAAATAAAGAAATACAAATATAAAAGTTTTTTTTTGTGTGGTTTATATGACCTAACACAACAAATAAATAAATGAAAATAAAATAAATTAAAATGCCATCTCAAATTCAGGCATAATACTTTTGATTATTTGTCCATGCATTCTTTGTTGGACTCTACATGCAGTAGTTATTAATATTCATGTTTTGCATGTTTACAGTTAAAGATAGTGATGTATATCGAGTGATGATAAGAGAAAATGTATTCAGGATAGAAAATATATTTATATGCCTAATTCCTTTTACAATGCTATTGTAGAATCAGGAATTAATATAAGAATAGGTCTTGCTACAATTTAATGATGAGTTTACAACTATCAATGCTCAACTCCGTATCCTTGTAATTTTGAACCCAATCCAAAACACAAGGGAACTCCTGGATCAAGTATTTTATAATTTTTTTTATATTTTATAACCGTCGTTGTACAGCCGACCCAATTTTGGGTTTACGACTACTAAGGTTCAATTCCGTAGCCTTGTAATTTTGAACCAATCCAGAAGGCAAGTAAAATCCTGGATCAGTACCCCCAGAGGTATTGATTTGTTATGGGAACATGGAGGACTTTGAGACTCGACAGATTTAACGTGCATCAGTCACCATTTACTACACGGGGAGTTTTCGGTCGGCGGTGATCGAACTCTTGGACATGGGCCCAGTGTCCTACCAACCATGCTATCCCGGCTCCTTGGATCAAGTAGTGAGAGAAATTTGCCTTCGTGGCGGACTTTTTGATGGAAATAGCCCGCATTTGCTTTACATGAGGAGGAAAACCTCCCACGGTTCGCCTGACGGCAAGGGGACTCTTAACCCATGATCCGTCTATCACTGGGGATATTCCACGTCAGTACTGTGCTCAATGCAGGTCGGATGCTGATTCTTATCTAACAGCCATCGCTGAGATTCGAACCCGGCTTACCTCATGGGTAGGCGAGCGCTCTACCCCCTGAGCCATCGCGACTCTGTAGTTAAATATTCTAATTCTTCACCCTCTTTTCTAATCCTTACTTTAAATATTATATTAACCAATTTTTTTTCACCGTCTAGCTATTGCCCTTGCTATAGTACTTAGATTTAAATTGTAACTATTTTCAAGAGGTGACCGCGATATTGTCTAAGTTCTATATGTATTGAATTTTAGTAAGAATTTAAAATCCGCCCCTCAGCTATTGGATCACACAAACCACTGTAAGCATGACATTGGGACATTTCCACATAGTAAGCAGCAGAAGTATTAAAATTATTTTCATTTTTGTGAACACTCATCCCAATGCTTTATTACTGTTGTTCCACTTCCTCATGCGTAACCTGAGTAAAATTGCTTGACAAAAGCAATCTCCGTCACCAATAATTGGTATGACAGTATTGCCACACCATAGCACCGTTTATGCTCAAAATTTCTTCATCCATTTTAGAAAAGATCAAATATATATCTAAATATAATTACTTCGTAACTAAATTTTCATTTCGATAAAAATACAAAATTATTCTTAATAAATACTTAACGTTTAACTAACTATTCAACACTAATTAAATTATTATTTAAGACAACCTAACGAAATGAATTATAACTGTGCTGCCAATAGATAAAACAGAGTGCGTAGCGTTTTTAAAAAGTGCTTAAAGGTGCTTATTTTCGATTTTCGTTTTTTAAAAGCCCTTAAAGGTGCTTTTTTCAGTGGGTATTTTTAAAAAGTGCTTAATTTTCCCTTTTTCAAAATGAGATTTTTCCTTTACTATGTTGATTTTCGCTTCGAATTATGCAGAAAGACAGTTCACATTGTTCTATTCAACGTTAAGTATAATTAATTCAACCCCAATCTATTTCGGCGTATTGTCCGTCCGTAGCGTCTAATAACGCCAATCGTTTTACATGATTCAAAAATTTCATGATTTTTGACAAATGTCAAAAACAATGCCAANTGGGTTGTTTTATAATTCATGTTCCATTTGCAGTTGCAGCGACAAAAAAATTGGTGATTAATTGTCGCGTTTTTCTACGGGTTGGTTGGCATCTTAGTTTCAATCTTTTTTTTTCTTTTTTTTTTTAGCTATTTTTATTTTATTTTTAAATAAATTGCAGATTTAAATTTAGTCTTATGTTGAAATCCACGTGTATCATTACGCAAACATCAATTTTCTTTTAAGGGGGGAAAATCGCTTCGAAGGACAAGGAGGAAAAATATTTTAACAACTATTCCTGCCAAGTTAAAAATGAGTAATAGCCCAACAAGCACCTTCAGATTTATTTTTAAATGAAGCGTGAAAGAAAACATGTTAAAAATATATCGATTCAACTAAACTTGTTACTCAAAATGTTAAAAATCTTTAATCAAACGTACTTAAAAAATTTTGTTACTCAACGTTGCAACAAATTATATTCTGTTTCTCCTAATGTGCATAAATGAAATATGAGTAACTTGCTACTACATAGAATCTTTACTGTGATATGATTTAATTTTTTAAATTAAGACTTCGTATGACCATGTTATTATCAATTTTATTTTAAATGTATTGTGTTCAATGTCTTTTTTTTCCGTTAGAAATAATGTACTTGTTATTACTTGTTATAAATTTAATTTATACCATTTTTTTAAAAATATTTTTTTTATTTTTATATTGATATTTTTTTTTTATCTATAAACTAGCGAAATTACAGTGTTTATAAATAAATTTTACTGTTTTGTTTACTTCATTATAAGTATACTAGCCGCCTTTGGCGATGATTTTGGCCACTTTTTAAAATTATACTGTGCAACATATAAACTTTAATGGTGATCAGTCCGAATGTACAGCATAACTGTATTTACATATTTTATAACCGTCGTTGAACAGTCGATCCAATTTTGGGTTTACGACTACTAAAGTTCAACTCCGTAGCCTTGTAATTTTGAACCAATCCAGAAGACAAGGAAACTCCTGGATCAGTACCCCCAGAGGTGTTGATTTGTTATGGGAACATGGAGGACTTTGTAACTCGACAGATTTAACGTGCATCCGTCACCATTTACTATACTACACGGGTAGTCTTCGGCCGGCGGTGATCGAACCCACGAACTCTTGGACATGGGCCCAGTGCCCTACCAACCAGGCTATCCCGACCCTTTGGATCAAGTATCTGGAGAAATTTGCCTTCGTGAAGGACTTTTTGATGGAAATAACCCGCATTTACTTAACATGTAGAGGAAAACCTCTCACGGTTCGCCTGACGGCAAGAGGACTCTTAAGGGGGATCCGTCGATCACTGAGGATATTCCACGTCAGCACTGTGCTTGGTGCAAGCCGGATGCGGATTCGTAAATAACAGCCATCGCTGAGATTCGAACCCGGTTTACCTCATGGGAAGGTGAACGCTCTATCCCCTGAGCCATCGCGGCTCTGTAGTTAAATATTCTAATTAATCACCAGTCACTCCCTTTTCTAATCCTAACGCCTAATGAACTTTAAATAAGAATTTAAAATCCGTCCGGCAGCTATTGGATCACACAAACCACCGTAAGCATGACATTGGGACATTTCCGCATAGTAAGCAGCAGAAGTATTAAAATTATTTTCATTTTTGTGAAAACTCATCCCAATGCTGTATCACTGCTGTTCTACTTCCTCTTGCCTAACCCTGTTCACAAAGGTAATCTCCGACACCAATAATTGGTGTGACAGTATGCGACACCATAGCACCATTTATGCTCAAAATTTCTTCAGCCATTTTAGAAAAGATCAAAAATATATCCGCATATAATTACTTCGTATCTAAATTTTCATTTCGATAAAAATACAAAATTATTCTTAATAAATACTTTACGTATAACTAACTATTCAACAGTTCTTAAATTATTATTTAAGACAGCCGAACGAAATGAATTGTAACTGTAGTGTTACCACTAGATAAAGAAATACCCGAGTTTAATGGTGTCACTTAAGAAAAATATGTAGAGAGAAATTACTTGTTTTTATTTTAAATTAACGTTTAAATGATCTGCTGAAATTGCTCAATTTCTTAATAAAACTAGCAAAAAAAAATTTTTTTTTCTCTTATAAATCACGTCTTTATTGCTACGACTTATCGTTTAGAATGGCATTCTTAATCATTTCTTCCATTAAAGTCGATTTTTCGTATAATCACGTCTTTTATCTCTATTAAATCAAGCATTAGAAATCAATATTAATTGTGAGCATGTTGGCAGAAGAAAAACATCTCCAAATGAATCTTGATTATTGCATTAACCCATGCTTTACTCTCTTTTGCACAGTCTAGCGTTCTTGTGTTTATTATTTAAAAAAGAAAGACTCTCTTGTTAGTTATTTATTAGAAGGGTGAGCTTTGGACGGGAGGGTGAAAGGGGGGATCGGGCATCACGCAATTTTGTGACGTCACTCAGTTGAGTTTTTTGAAGCTAACGAAGTTAACTTGTAGTACAGTCATCAACCGAAGTCCAGATGCCGGACTCATCATCGGATGCGAAGGGTAATAACGGTTTGTTGAAGGACTCTTCCCAAATGTAGAGTGGGTAGTTGGTAACAGTGTTTCGAAAATTCTTGGAAGTTGGGATTATTTCTAGAATGTGAGTTGTGTAATTTGTTATTTTTGTAGAATTGCTGGTTAACGTTTGTAAGAGTATTGTGGTAATCTAAAGCATGAGGTGTGTGTTCGTTTGTCTAATTTGTGACTATAATTCTATGTTTCAACAGGGTGCGTAGCGTTTTTAAAAAGTGCTTAAAGGTGCTTATTTTCGTTTTTTAAAAGCCCTTAAGGTGCTTTTTTCATTAGGTATTTTCGTAAAGGGCGTAATGTTCTTTTTTCCAAATTGAGATTTTCCTTTACCATATTGATTTTTGCTACGAATGATGCAGAAGGACACTGTTTACATTGTTCTATTCAACGTTTTCACAATTAATTCAACCCCAATCTATTTCGGCGCTTCGTCAGGCCTTAGCTTATGAAAACGCCATTCGATATACATGATTCAAAAATTTTGACAATTGTCAAAAACAATGCTAAAAGAATGTTTTTTTTGACATGACTGTTAAAACCAGATAAAACCGTCAATTGCCAAAAACTTTCCAACCATGCCTAGTTATGATATTCTTTTAAAGTGCTTAAAAATATTATTAGAGTGCTTGAAAAGTGCTTAAAAGGTGCTTATCTTTTGTTGAATAATTTGGCTACGCACCCTGTTCAAGTACGTGCGGGGATATACCGTTCGATTTTCATGTCAGTATTAGTTGCCTCATATCGTATTATGAATTATTCATCCAGGCTGAATAATGGTGTTCATATAATTTAATTTCTTTTTTATTTATTTACCAAAATAAAGTCAAACACAAATTTTCTGTTTATTTTTCTGAATTTGTATGTCAATTTTAAAACATTTTACGGCATAGCTTTGCTCATAAAGGATAGGGAACATCTATAAAAAGTTAAACCTTACTTAAGACTAAATGTTTTATTGAGATTATGGAAAACTGGAAAAAAATTTTATTCAAAGATATAGGCACTATTTGGCTGCCGTATAATAAATATTCAAAAGGTTGAATATTGCCATTCTGCCAAAAATCACTATTCTGTATTTTCTTTGCTGTGAGCTTTAAAATTAACTTCTATCTGTTGACAGTTATTATTATTTATTTTTTAAGCTCTATCTCGTCCTATATTTATAGGATTCAGTGAAAGAACAAGTAAAATGGCATTTTAGAAATTTTCTGCTTTTTAGGAACATACATTAGGAATATATATATTTTTTATGTTCTTCATCAAATTCTGTTCTACAGAATTATGTACACTTTTGTTCTTTTGTATACCTCTGAGTTCGACCTCTCCCAAATCTTACAAATTTGATGTATGTTTTGCAATAATAAAAATTTACAGAGAATTTTAATTCGAAATATGAAAGGCTTCTGGCAATACAATCCACACTTTCAAATTTTCATTTCTCGAGAAAAACACTACGATTTCGATGTAGGATATGAGATGTTTGTGTGTTCAACTATATGAAACTCCAGAAACTTGTAAAGAAAAGTAAACATATCTGGAAACAAGACTTAACAGTTGATGTAAAAAATATTGCTCTTCTTAAAAAGAAACTTATCATTATATTACCCAAGCATATCATAGATACTAATGTTACAGATGATTTGATGGCTGATTTTGTAATTGATGCTACAAAAAATTGAGAATCCATAGACCTAGATATTAATAATCAAATAGAGTAACATTTATGCTATTCTATTTTTGCTTATCGGGGGAACTAGTTATTCAGTTTTCTATATCCAGCAATTTTTTAAATGAAAAATAAGGTTTATAATTGAGCGTAGAAATCAAGAAAAACAACACATATTTATAACACTGGAGATTAAACTTTTTGCTCCTCTTTCTCAACTCTCTATGGCAATGTAATTCATTTTTATATACTAGGTTACCGATCATAATACTTTTTTTAGAATTTTGGCAAAAACGAATTGGAAAAGAACGTACTTTAAGGGTCGCGAATAATTATTTAAACAATGAAAAAAGTCATGAGCGAAACCTTAATCATTAACGAGGTAAGCGAAATTGAAATATGTTAGGTTGGATTGATTTAAAAAAAAAAGATCTGATAGGTGTTTATCGAATTTCAACCGACAAATAAACTATTTCTGATGTTTTCAATCTCCCTTTCTCAATAGTTATCTGCCAGATTTTGTTTGTTTTTCTTTAATCTTTGCTTAATATTAAATTGCGACCGTTCGTGCAAACATTCTTTTTAACTTTATTTTATACAAGGTTTCTTTATACAATTATATCAAGGGTCGAACATAAATCTCACCCTGACTCTGCTAATTTTACCGGGTATCTCAGGATACCCGGTAAAATTAGCCTAGTCCAGATACCCGGTATTGAATTTTCAGACTAAAAACCGGGTAACATGGTACGGGGTGCATGGTACCGGGTACATCTCTTAATTTAATTGACAATACCAGTAACAGTAATATCATTATTTGTTGTAAAATAGCCTTTTAAACTTCTAACGTATGTAATTGAATGCATTTATTTTATTTATGCACTTAATTAAATCTTCCGCTACCCAAGTAATGTAAATTTTTCGTTGATCAATACTAAGTCGAATTTTCCTTTTTTATCCATTCTCAAAATAGCACGTTATGTTTCGATGTTGGCAAGAATTAAGCTAACTTCGCAAGTAATAGGGCGCTTGTTTGAGTTTAGTACTTGGCAAGAATTCAATCCTAATTTTTCGGTAGACTTTTATTTTCTCTTCATTTGCATTCAGTGAAGGTACCCTTGAAATATTGAAATTAAGGTCATGATGTTTAGGGCGAAAGTTTGTCTGTACCAGAGTAGTGTCGAGATTTAGGAAGCACGATGCATTTGAGATTGTTAATTGCGTTTTTATTAACTAAGTCAAATCCTTTTTCAAAAATGACTTCCAATTTGAATCATTATTTAACTAAATGAATTTGATTCTCGTGAAGTTAGTATTTGAAGTTATACTAACTACAACATGACTGATGATAGATAGCTAATAAAAGATGTAGCATAGCTAAGTGATGTAGCGTGTACTAGTCACATGAATTTTTATTTTTTGAGAAATCATCAGCAAAATAAGGAAATCATAAAGCATAAAATGCATATTTCACATAAAATGTAAAAAGAAGCAATTATTACTCCTGAAAACTAAGGAGAAACGCTTAGAAATATGAAGAACGCTGAACTGTGTTGGTCAGATGATTGTTGATTTCGTTGTAAAAAGGTTACTTCAAATTTTACCATTTTTAAAAGTATAGGTTTATGGTATTTCTTTATTTTTTCATTTACGGAACCATAAACGTTCGAACTTTTTTTGATGAAGCCATGACTTTTTAAAAAAGTTCATTAGAAGGTGTAAATGTGATAACCAGAAACAAAAAAAAAAGGGGGGGGGGATAGAAATTAGGCAAAAATGTGATGAATGAAATGTGTTTTCATTGTTTCATCAATAATAGTCTTAAAGGGTTTTTTTTTTCAATTGAATTCTCAGGTATCCTGCGGCTTTTAGTCTAGTAGTTTTTGGCGTATACGTAAATTAAATTGAATAAAATAAGTTGAATTATGATGTTTAAAAAAGAACTATTACAAACGCTGAGAATGGTTATCTGGGAAAATGTATTCTTTATTCTTGAATTTGGTTATTTTACTTTCAACTTTAAAGTTCGATGAGAATACCGAAATACCGATGCAATCATTTGTAAATGACTGTCCTTTTATTAATGATTCAAATATTGGGAATAATACATATATTTTTTAAAATTTTCTATTTCTTTATTATTGACATTTTATTTAAATAATTTCATAAAAATGACCTAATTTTTGTATGAAATATCGTTTTTTGGTTCGATGCAAACCTATTACAGGCTTCAAAAATTATTTTTGGTTAAAAAGAAGAAAGAAGGAAAGTTCTAACTCACTCTATGGTTCCGCATATCATCTTTCAGGAACCGCTGGCCTAGTTTAAGTGATTGCTGCTGAATTACAGCATTTTATTACAGCACTAAAATTTAACACAACAAACGGGATTAGATAATTTTTTTTTTATAACCGTCGTTGAACTGCCAACCCATGCAATTTTGAGTTTACAACTGCCAATGTTCAAACTTCCGTAGCCTTTGTAATTTTAAAACCAATTCAGAAAACAAGGGAACTCCTGGATCAAATACTAAGAGAAATTTTGCCTTCGTGGAGGACTTTTTATTGGAGCTAACCAGCATTTGCGTTACATGAAGAGGAAAACCATGGAAACTTCCCATGATTAGCCTGAATTTTGTTCTTTTGTGAAACCTTATTCATTTTTCCCCTTTACTCTCTAATTTTAAATCCTACTGGTAAAATAATAATTTGATTCAATACTTTGGATATCGCCAATAATCACATCGTTTAAGTATTTTTTTGATCAGTGATGAAGCATTATTTTGAAATTATAATATTTTAAAATCACGTTTAATAATGCAATTGAGTGTTATAAAAAGTAATTTACTAAATTTTTATTAGTTATATTTTTTTAGTTGCATTTGAAATTTATTTATGTCTGTACTTAGCAATGTTTTTGCTCATAAATATACTATGATGTTCAACAATTTTACTGGAAATGAAGGATAAATTTTAATATTCTGTATCTTTTTTCTTTATTAAATTGAATTCACACGTTTGTTTTTAAAACAGTACTGCTTTGAAAATTAAAATTTTAAAATCGTGCAAGAATGACAATCCATTTCCAAGTATTATTATTATCTATAAAATTCGTTTACATCTTAAATTTAAATTGGTGGCTACTTTATTTTTTTAATCATAGCAAAATTAAGTTGATCAAGTTGTTTTGTTAGACATTACTTCCGTTTTTTAATGAGGATTGTACTTCTAAACTGATAATGTATGATGTTTGGCGCTTATCCAATTTAAGATATATTATCTGAAGATTAAATAACCTGGAGATGCCAAGTTTTTCTTGTTCCATACAACTTTTCAAACATATATAAATCATTTTCGGTTTAGATTTCGATAAAATTAATTTGTGTTTTACCTTGATTACTATTTTAAATTTTTTATCCTGATGGCATTGTAACCAATCTAGTCTAATTTATTAAAATTGAATAAAAAAGCTAAACCCATTGGGGATTTGTTATTTAATAATGCTATAATCAGGGTGCGTAGCGTTTTTAAAAAGTGCTTATTTTTGATTTTAGTTTTTTAAAAGCCCTTAAAGGTGCTTTTTTTCATTGGGTGTTTTTAAATAGTGCTTAACTTTCCCTCTTTGAAAAAATGGTTTTTCCTTGACCATGTTGATTTTCGCTATGAATAATGCAAAAAGACATATTGTTCTATTCAGCGTTTTCACAATTAATTAATTCAACCCCTTTCTATTTCGGCGTATTGTCAGTCCGTAGCGTATGAAAACGCCATTCGTTTTACATGATTGAAAATTTCAGGATTTTTGACAATTGTCAAGAACAATACCAAAAGGTTTTTTTTTTTTTATATGACGGTTAAAACAAGAAAACCGTCAATTGTCAAAAACTTTCCAACCCTGCCTAATTATATTTTTTTAAAGTGCTTAAAAATATTTCTTGAGTGCTTAAAAGGTGCTAATTTTTTGTTGAATAATTTGGCTACGCACCCTGTATAATGCATCAAGACATATTATCAGAGCAAGTTAAGGGCGGAAGGACATTTTAATGGACGGATTTTTATTTATTTATTTATTTTGATTAAGTAGCTAGCCGACATTGACTGATAATTCTTGAGTATCAAAGATGTCATTTTATTTTGTTCGTAACAAAGAAATAGGACGTTTCATTTGGGGTTGAAAGAACAATTGAAGTTTGTTTAGTGCGCCACATCCTTTTTAAGATAACGCTGCTAGTTGAAGTAAATAAATTTCTGCTGTTCTTCGTAGTATTCTTTTCAAGTCGACTCCTACACACTTTTCTGAACTCCCGCATCTTCTATCCGTTTGAGTTTTAACAACTGTATTTTCTCTTTGAGTTCGAGATAGAAAACATGCTGAATGAAAAAACTTCTTACCCTCCTTTTTTAAGCTATTTAAAGAAATGGAGTACGTGTTTTTTGTTCTCGTTTCCGTCCCCCCCCCTCCAAGTAACGCGGTTTTTAAATTTATAGAAAAGATATTCATGTTTTTTTCAGTTATAGATTTCGGGATTTGCTGATATTTTAAAGCTTTAAAATGATCCAAAAAAATTCGTACTAATACTGACGGCCCTGGGCGAAACGAAACAATTTTTTGCATTTTTAAATCTTTTGCTGCCATTATAAAAAAGAAAGCGATAAATTATTTTTTTTACATTTATATTGTGTACAAATTATGAAACCAGGGGTCTGTCTAGGTTTTGCTGAGAGGTACCTATTTTGAGAAAATTTAGACATAATTTGTGAAAAATTATAAATTATATTGAAAAATCAGCACAAAAATATGGTAAAAATATGAATTTATCGTTTCTTAAGGGATACAAAAATAAAATTTTAAGAAAAAGTATTTTGCAAAACTGTCGTTTTTCGTAAAGTTGAATTTGTGAAACTACCGTTTTTCCTAAAGTTGAATTTGTGAAGGTACCGCTAAACGGTAGTAAATTAGGCCTGGGCAGACCCCTGGAAACGTATTGCAACTATAAGTTATTCATGTTATAATTAATAGCATAAAATGTTTTAATTTTAAAATTTTGTTTTCTTGAAACGCCCAATTTATTGTCCATACGTAACAAGGTTCCTCTTAGTTTAATTAAAAGGTGATTGTAAACTTTCTTATAAAAACAACACATTTACTTGTTTAAAAATCCTTTTTTTTCTTCTTCCACTTAATACGTTATTATAACTGAGAATACCTACTTTTGTGTGAAAGAGTGATTGAAGAAACTGGGCCTTTTAATCAGAAATGCACTGATTCTGGAATAGACTTGCATTATACACTTATAAAAACATGATTTAATAACTGGTGACGAAAATTTTGTACTGGGAACTTGAAAACGAAGTGATTATGCCCAACCTTGTGATTTAAATCAGTTTTAATTAGACACCTGTAAGCTACGTCACGTGTGTGTGTTGAATCTGATTGGCTTTTGAATCGACAAATGCCATGGTTTATCTCCGATGACGAAAGTTGCAGGTATCCAATTACTTCACCAAATTTGATTTTTTAGACTTTCATACATTTCTTTTAGCTATTTGTATTTTTTTTTCTTTTCCTGATGCAACTAAAATTGTAAAAAGTAATTTATTATAGCCACTAGTGAATTGGAAATTTTTTTTCCTTTTAGCTATTGAATATGGGCCGAAATTTAAAATTCTGTAATATATGTGTTTTATCTTTCTTTTTATTTATATGAATTAAAAACTATTATCTTAAATTTGTATCACATTAAACCATTTGTACAAACTTGTAAACTTTTTTTTTCTTTTCAGTACATATCCTGTTCATTTGACAGATATAATGGAAGGAGGCCAATCATCTCAGTCAAGTAAATATCTTAGATTTAATTTTAATCGATTTAATTGCGTACAAACGTTTTGCCATATTGTTTTATTATTCCATTTATAATTTCAATAAATTTTATTTATTATTGATATTCATAATTGAGTCAAATATCATTAGGATTTTTTTTTAAAAAATTGCACATAAGTAATCATTTTGTTTTCAATTTGATGATTTTCGATTTGATAAGTAATCATTTTGATGTGCATAATTGCACATTGAGTTTTTTTCTTTTAAGTAGTTTTTAATCATGATAGAATTAAGTCGATATACCATACTATATATTTTTATTTTCTGTAACTGTGGCTTTTACAATTATATTAAGCATGAACCTTTAAGAGGTCATGAAAATTTTATAAAAAGAAAGCAGTGGATTTTAAGTTTAAAAAGTAGTAAATCTTCTTGAATTTTTTATATGGGTAATTTCATATCAAATCTAGCAATAGAAAACAAATTTTTTTTGGGGGGGGGGTGCTGGCAAAGAACTCGAACTTTAATATTTATACCACCTACTTCTAACATCTTTATTAGACTTGCTTGAGAAGTGAAGAATATCAAGTTTCAGATTTTTTGAATAATTTGTTTCTGAGTTATGCCACATTAAAATTTAAAGAAATCACATTTTTTGCAGTTTTTGAATTTTTAAACAGTTATAGCTTGAGAACTAATTGGTCTATAGAGCTAAATTTTGACATTTTATTCAGTTTTTAATGGTCACTGATTAGAATCATGCAATTTGCATCAATATTCGAATCAAGTGATTCAGATCAGTGATTCGAATCCTGTGATATAGATTAGTGATTCGAATCATGCGATTCGGATTAGTGTTCGAATCAAGAGATTCAAATCACTGATTCAAATATTGCGAATCGGATCATTTATTCTCATGAAGTTCGATCGATTCGAATCATGTGATTTGGATCACTATGTAAATCAAGTGATTTGAATCATGCATTTTGATACAATATTCTTATCAAGTGATTCTGATCAGTTATTCGAATCATGCAATTTTGAGCACTACCTGAATTAGGTGATTCAAATTGGATTTAAATCATGCCATTCTGATCAATGATTCTAATCAATAGAATCAAACCAAAGATTTAAATCATGTGATTCGGATCTCTGATCCGACTGATGTGATTTGGACCCCTTTTCAAATCAAGTTTATTAGATCAGTGATTTGAATCATGCCCATTCAGATCATTGATTCTTGTGAAGTGATTCTGATCACTATTCGAATCAAGTGATTCAGATCACTGATTTGAATCCTGCAATTGGGATCATTGATTCAACTGAAGTAATTCAGAGCAGTGATTTGAATCAAGTGATTCAGATCTGAATTCCAATCGAGTAATTTGGATCACTAATCCGAATAGCATGACTTAAGGACTTAATTGCGAATCATGTTATTCAAATCAAATGCTTCATATCACTATTTAGAGGTGCACAAAAGATATGCAATTTCTTTTTTATATTTTACTATAAGTTATTGAATTGTTTGATCAGAAAATATTCACTCCTTAATAATGAATGTGTAAGAATTTCCCAAGTTTTACTATAAATTTTTAACTATATATGACATAGCATCTCTCTGAAACAAAATTAAAATTTAAGAACTATTAATCCATTATAGTTTAAATAAGTTCCGGTAAAATCAACTGATTCGATCAATCCTGACTTGAATCGCAATTTATTTGAATCTCTTAATCAATTCAGTGATTCTGATCAAATCATTGAATCTGTACCCAACTCTAATGGGTACCATGCCACCCTGAAATTCAATAAGGAAAAGAAGAAAAAAAACATTAGTTATCTCCCTCCTTACCAAAAAATTTACTGAAACAACGGGGGTACTGGGCAGAGAAATTTCTTATTACTTTGTGTTGTCACACACATGAAAATGGTGGCAATACGAATATTTGATAAACAATAAAAAAATATTTGTATAACATTTTGTAGCTATATTTTGTTCATTTCAATAAAAATATTTATATTGTTATTGTATAAAATTAAAAAAATTTTCAAGCTTACATGTTTTTATTTCATTATCTCTATCCTGGTCATGATTTTTAGTGCATATTTTGTGTATTTACTTGTATTTGTGTTCACGTTGAATTTCTAAAATTGCTTGCGAATTTCTGCCCTTTTTTTTCCGGGAGTAACTTGCAACCCTAATAATGAAATAGAGAAATCCTGATAATATTCAAATCGAGAAACTTTATGATCCCATCATAATACCATCTTAAAATTTACCTGCAAATATCCTACAAGAAATTAAATGAAAAATGTTTTTTTAGAAGAACTAAATTTGATTTTTTTAAATTATAATTTTTTATATTAGTTTAGCTATTTTGTACATTTTATAATATGCTATTAAAAACTGAACATAATGTTCGAAATTAAGTTTTCCAAATTAATTATTCTCAAGTTATAACTGTTTAAAGTTTAAAATATTGAAAGAAATTTAAATTTTCAAAAATGCATAACTTGATATCAAATGGTTTAAAATCTCTGAAACTTGGTGAACTAAATACAAAGACCTGACAGTTTGACCAGCAGTTAATATTGTGTTAAATTACCTATATTCTATTATCATAATTTATATTTTTTTCTTTTTCTTTAAAAATTTTTTTACGATTACTTTTAATTTTTTTAAGTTCCTTTAATACATTTTGAGTTTTAGGTAAAAAAAAATTAAGTAACTCAATCATTGACGATTAAAATTTATAAATTTTGCTGAGCCTTGTATAATAAATTTTTATAGTTATTTTCTACATAATATATTTATCAGCATATGATTTTTTAAAAATTTATTTAATAAAAATTTGCTTTTGATTGACATATTTCACTAACTTATTACAATGCAATATACTTATCTACACATGATTTAATGATTTTTTTACAAATTTGAGTGACAACCCTGAACAAGAACAAGATTTATAAAAGTTTGAACTTTTCAAATTTAGGGAAATTTTAGATGAAAGAAAACTTACCCTTGATTTAAATGAATTCGCTTGCATTCGGAAATATGTAGCGTGAATTTTTTTTAATCTTAAATAAATGTTGTAAACTAAACCTTATAAAATATATTATACAGTAAATCTTATGAAATTTGTCTAACCTTCTTAAAATGAATATCAATTTTTATCTTCAACAGTTATTATAATCACTTCCCTCTTAATGTATTTATCAATCTGTGCATCAACATATTAACATGTTAAGAATATATCATTTTCAGATTTCCAACGAACAGAGTTTACAACATCACCAGTCAAAGAAACACAAACTAAAGCTGTTAGGGAATATGAAGAAGTAAATACTTTTTCTCTTTTTCTCATTTTTGCAAAGGAAATCTCATTTTTAATTCTTTTTTTTTCTTTCTTTTAGACAATTAATCAACTTAGAAAGGAAAATTTTGATCTTAAAATGCGGTTATATTTGTGTGAAGAAAAACACAGGCAAACTTATCATGTTAAACGTAGTTATGATGAAAAGCAAGATTGTATTCAAATTGTAAGTTTGCTTTCGGATTCTTTTCTATTAATATAATTGAATTTTTAAGAAATTCATTAAATTTTTTTTTCAATTGTTGTTAAAATTTTCACTTATTTAAAAATGACATGTTATCATTGTTTAAAAATAATTACCATGATTTATACTAAGTGGTAATCATAAGTTTTTCAAATAAAATTTGATGTTTCTTTTATAAAGAGTTTTTTTTCCCCTCAATTTTTCCATCTTTTTTGGAAAGGCAGATTTCTAATATCTCTACTTTGACTCTTGCTATTGTGGAAGAAACTTGCTCTTGCTGTAAATGCAATAAGAAAAATTTATCTAGTGAAAAGAAAAGTATAATTATTATTAATATTTTCAAAAAGAAATGTGCAATACTTTTCTATTGACAAATTACAGTTTCTCTTTACATTTATAGTACATAATAAAGATTTTCATTATAATCAGTTTCATTTTGTTTTATAGCTGTGCAGTGATTTTTACCCATATATAAGTTGTAAGCAAACAACTTTAAATTGTACATAATTTTTTTAAAATTTTTCTATGTATACATTCTTGACAACATCAACGATATTTTCTTTTATAACTAATATTTTTATAACTTTAATGAGAGGCTAAACGTACTTGTGTTTTTTGGTTCTAAAGATTGTAAATTTGGAAATTGAAGCAGAAGATTTAAGAAAGGAGTTGAATGGAAAAGAAGAAGAGCTACGCACTGCTTTGTAAGTAAATAACCATCCTTCACTTTATCAAATACTGATATTTTGATTACATTTTTAACCAATTTTATCATTTTCCAGGGAGAAGTATTCAGAAGAAATTGAGAAGTGTCAAACGGAGTTACAAGAAGCACAAAAGAAAATTAATGAGCAACAAGAATTCATAAGGATATTGGAACAAGTAAAATATTTATTGTATTAAATTTTTTCTTTAATTCATTCTATACTGTAACTTCTTGTAAAAATATTAAAAGATAGCAAACATGATAAATGATGATATTTCTATTCTTTTAATTATTATTTAAAGGCATGTGCATTTTCTGCTAATTCGCTGAATTCAGCTGTTTTCAAGATGAATGATTCACAGACTACCATTAATAAAAAATATGTATTCCATTATTTTTGGCAAAATTTTGATAAAGTTAAGAGAGCACCAATTAAGATTTTGTTACAAATTCTGATTTGTAATAAAAGAATTATTGCACCAGAGCAACACTTTTATTTCCCCCTATTTTTTTATTTAGCCCTAATAAAGATAATAAAATTCCATTATTTTTATTGTGATTTTACGACTGACACAATGATTCCTCCGTCTTTTTAAAATAATTTTTTAATATAGTTATTACTACTCGTTTCTACATAGTTTCCGAAATTCTGGTATTTTTAATACAATATTATTAGTTACAATACTACATATTATCAATATTCTCAAATTGCACTTTTCAATAATAAATTTTTTTCTTGATATGGTTACAAATCGCTGAATGTAAAATTAAAATAAAAAAAAATCAGTTTTTTTTTTTTTTTAATTTGAGAATATTGTTTATATTATTAGAATCTATATCCTCATATGTCTGATGAGGAGAAAATATTTTTATGTACAAAACATTGTTTCTTTCTCTCTTTAAATTTGGTGTTTTTTTACGTATAAAATAGTTGAATATTTAATATTCTTTAACTGAACAGAAATAATCTTATATTTATGAATTGCGAAAAATTGTTTAACTTAAAAGCAATCATATGCCTAGATATACTTAAAAAAGCTAAGTTTTGCATTTTTTCGATGATTTCTTTTAGCAATGTGACACGCATTAAGTTATAAAGTTAATGACTTTTTTATTGAAAAATTAAATACTGTCTTATAAACTAAAACATGCAAAAAATATGTAGATCATTTAATTGTCATTTTCTTCATGTGGGATGTTATCTTCTCCTTATAATTGCTATTTACTCACGAGTTTTTGTAATCTGTGGTTCATGATAAAACAAGTATTTAATTCTAATCTGCAGCTCCCAACAATTGATGATTATAATGAGGTTCAGAGACAATTCTCTGAAATGGTCAGTGAAGGTGATTGCATGAAGCAACTGTTAGCTGAAAAGGAGGAAGAAATTGAAGTGAGTAAAAGCTTATTTTGCACTTAGTAACTTATTAATATTGCTAATTGTTAAAAGATTAATATCCTTTTTGTTATTGAAAGTAGAGATATTAACGAATATTCGGCCACTCTTTGATGCTCCGCACTTTTGCCAAATATTCAGTTGGTAACTTATTAATATTGTATATTGTTGAAAGATTAATATGATTTTTGTTTTAAAGTAGAGATATTAACGAATATGCGGCCACTCTTTGATGTTCGGCACTTTTGCCAGATATTCAGTTGGCCGAATATTCGGCAAAGAATTTTTTGTGAAGTATTTTTCCACAAAGTTTTTTTTTGTTTTTAAAATTTGCATTATTTTGGAATTGGAGGAATTTGAATAAATTTAGTGAAGAATAATCTATAATCGTATGTTTTACTATACATTATTAGAAATAGTTTTTACACATTTTTGTTAAGTTCCATAACTTGTTAATTTATGTCCTAAGAGACAAATGGGAAAACGAAATATGAAGAATTGAAGCTAGGTTATTTTATACTCAACCATAAGTTTTGTAATACTTTTTTTAAATATATTTAAGCAAATCCAAATTCATAATTTTTTCAACATTTTTATTTTATTTCGTTTTCTGTTTTAATTTTACAGCATTTTAACGGAACATTTCTTATAGACTTAATTCTTTTATTGTCACTTTTTACCTGTACAGTAAGGCAGATAGCAGGTAACCTATCCAAGTGTGATTCTCAACATTTAGGTTACATTTCTGAACTAAAGAACAATTTTGTTTGATTTTTTTTTATTAACTTTTCTTTTTATCAGCGTTTTTAATAAGCGTTTCTAATGGATGTTATTCTTTTATGATAAATTTTTTTTTCGAAAAATACGCCAATGTGAAAAATTTAAATTTAGTTTTTTAATGTTTAAAATTTTTGTTTAAATATTAAGAATGATTTTTGTTTTGGTTTCTATCTAGCTTTTTCTTTTTTAAAAACATATGTTTCTATTATGACGAGGCAATTAAGAGGGTTTCTATTATATTTTACTTTTATCTTTTTTTTTTTTTTTTTTTTTTTTTTTTTTTTTTTTTTTTTTTTTTTGAAAATACAATAATTTGAAAACTGAGATGTTTAGCTTTAAAGTTTTCTTTCAAAGATTAAGGTCGATTTTTATTTTTTCTATATTTTTTATAGGCGTTTTCATAATAGCATTTCACTTATATAAGCGTTTCTGATGACCTTTTTTCTTTTTTTAAAAAATATTTTATAGATAATTTGTTTCTAGAAAAAATTATTTTTAGCATTAAAACTTTGTTTTGAGAATTAATAGGATATTTTTTTCTATTTTAATTTTTTTCAACTTTACCATTTTAGTTTTTTTATCGCTGTTTCTCAGTTTTTTTTTTATTTATCTTATATTTCTAATCATGCCAATACCAAATTATCTTTATTGTCTGAAATATTTCTATTGTAGTTTTTTTTACCTTATACCAATAACTATGTAAGTTTCGATTATTTTTTAATAATGACTCAATTTATATTTAAAGCTATTTAATATATATATATATATATTATCATAATAATATTTTTTATTTATTTTTAATTGCTATTGGGCCGCTGAATATCCGGTATTCGGCAAAATTACTATTTGTTGCATTCCTAGTCGAAAAGCTTTTCCTGAATGTGAGGTTTAATGAGTCAATTATTTGTCAGGGCTTCCATTGGTTAGGGAGAACCTGGAATATTCCGATAATTTTATTTTAACTGAATCAGGGAAAAAGCTTTTTTTTTTTTTTTTTTTTTTTTTTTTTTTTTTTTTTTTTAAATCTGAAAATTTCCTATGTAATACCTATAAAATAATCAGTCTTAAAGTTATCAGTAACAGTAATCAGTTATTGAGATGAGAGTTCAGTAATTCTAACATCTATTACAATTATTTGTTATAAAAATTTAACATTTTATTCAAACTGACATGTTCTTATCCTCATTCGATGATTTTTTTTTTACTCGCAAAATTTAATATTTGGCATTAAAAATTAAAAAATCAAAGTTTTCTGATGAAGAATTGCAATGGTATAGATAAAATATGATCTGCATTTTCATTGAAATTTACTTGATATACCTTTAAAAAAATTTCTGAAATTTAGGGAATTATTTTTCTGAAATTTAGTGGGAACCCTGATTATAACAATTTATTGAGAAAATGATTTCATTTTCTCAGATGAGAATGAACTGTTTCTCATTGAAATCAAATTAGTCAATAAATTACAAATGGTTTGTATTTCTTGAAAAGTTTCTCAGTTTATCTGAAACACTGTAGTATGGTAAATATCTTAGAAATCTACACAGTTTACAAATTATAAAATTTTTTGTAAGTAACATAGAAATTTTTTCATTTCATGTAATTGTAGAATTGTATTCTACTTCATATTTAGTTTTTTAATTAAATACTTCTTTTCTAATAACTTTACTTCATTTTCAGAAAGCTAACCAAGAGTCAAAGGAATTGCAGGAAAAAATCGTAGCTTTGAACAAGAAAATTAAGCTTAGAGATGAAGCAATCAAAAGTTGTGCACGAAAGTACCATGAAGAAACTGATTACATCCCTAAACACATGAGGCCAATTATTAAATCTACAATTCAAGCTGCTGTAGATAATAATGAAAAAGAACTCGTTTCATCTCTGGAAAAATTAAAAAGATCTCTTAGTGAGGTAATTATTTTATAAATTCTGGTAATTAAACCATATGACTTAATCTTCTATCCTGTTATGAAGTAAATCAAAAGGTAACTGTCTTGAAATGTGATATTTTATAAAAATAATGAGCTAAATAAACTATGAAACAGTTTTTCTTTTTCACAACTACAGTATTTGGAATATATTTTAAAATCTAAATTTTGTTTTTTATTTATTTATTAACAAGAAGTTTTACAATTTTGTTGTTGAAAAGGAATATTTCAAGTATCTTTTGTAGCTTAATAACTTAATTTTTTTTCTTATTCTAAATAAGTAAATTAAAAGAAGATATAGAAATAAGAATGGTTATGAAAAGAATCTAATGTTTTGATAAGTGTATTTTTACTATTGTTGATCAGGGATGGCAAACCAATGGCACCCATGCCATAAATGGCACGCTACTCAACATTTTGGGCACGCCACCAATCACAAATTTCGCTATGAAGCATATTAACAATTAAATTAAAATGCACAAAAAACAAATAAAAAAAAACGTTAATAACCACAAAAAACAAGCTATCAATAAATAACTGGCAAAAAAATAATAATAATAATAGTCCTGCTTAAACTAACTTCTTACAACCTAATATAAGTTATTTGTCATCTAATCTGCAACAACAGAAGTCACACTGACGTTACTTTAAGTTGAATTAATCGTATAATTGAGACATTGCAAAATGTTTTTTTTTTTTCATAGTAAATAAAGAGTTTTGAGTTGATAGTTTAGTATTATTATTTTCCCAATAATCACAAAGTCAAAATTATTTGACGGCACGTCTATGACTTCATTAAACAATTTTTTGAGAAATGGCACTTTGGTGCATAAGGGTTCGCCACCCCTGTTGTAGATGAATCTATTAAAGTGTACTTTGTAGTGTAAAAATTTTTTTTATGCTCCTTAAATGCATGTTAAATTTCTTAAATGCAGTTTTGACCTTTTAACCCACTGGCGGTTAAGGAAATGGGTAAAATTGGGAGAATGTTTCTCCCCTAGACTAGGGGTGCACAACCTGCGGCCCGCGGGCCAAATGCGGCCCTTCGACTAATGAAGTGCGGCCCGAGAGAGCTTCTAAACACAATAAAAAAAATTTTAAAAATGGCAATTTTTAATCGCACTTNTTTAAATGTAATATAAATATTAATAAGTTTAAATATTTTGCATAATTTCCTCTATTTCCAGCTCAGTTAAAAATTTTCGACGCTTCGACATTCTAACGGTAAAAAGAAAAAAAATTCAAGCCTACAAGATCTAATTATCCACTAAAAACTAATCCGAAAATCGAAAGTAGCGAGAGATAAAAAAAACTCCCTTACTTACTGTAAATAAATATCACGTGCTAATTTAAAGAGCCTTCATAAAACATTCCCCCCCTCCACTCCTTCCCCTAAAAACCACGTGACTGTACTTTCATCTTGAGTAGAAGGTCAAATCTACATGTATCTGAAACCATATGGACATACAATGCCATCTTTTGGGAGAAATTTAATTTTTTAAAACGTTCCGATACGCTGGCACAAATAAGTGACGGTCGGGGGTGAACGAGAAAACTCTCTGACACGCGGGTGTGTCGGTCGGGAAGTGAGCGCGTTTCTTGCTGGCACATATATGTGACAGTCGGCTCGAAAGGGTTAAATGCATGTTAAATTTCTTAAATGCAGTTTTGACCTTTTAAAGCAAAAATAATGTTAGTAAACAGAAACCCCGTAGTTTCAGTTTTATAATTAAAAACTTCCTTCAGTGTCCAAAAAAAAATTTTTTTTTTCTTTCCTTTAATGTACTTTTCTCAGTGTCAGAACATTGCACACAGAAACTCATCAGTGTGCTGTGATTAAACTCTGATATAGATCTGATCTATAGAATAGAACCTATGGTATGCCTGTGTTAATGTGGCAATTGTGCTTTTTTCACTTCATTAGCTTTTCATAAGTAATAATATTTTGATAAATTAAGAATGATGGTTATAGAAATGTTGATTATTTTATAAAAAGAACATTAAAAAAAATTATTACATTAATCTCCTTTGACCTTCAATTTTCATAAATTTGTCCTGTTTTTTATCTGAAAAAAAAAATAGAGAGGTGTGTTGCTTTTGTAGTAGATTTAATGTTATCTAAAAATAACCAAAATGATATTTTTTTAAAAAAATTGTGATCTTTTAACATGTATATTGCAGCCAATATTTAAACAGCCCAGCCAATTTAATTCTAAACCATTTGTTACAAATATTGCAGATAATGGGTGTGCTTATACCATCAAATCTTCAAAGCACTTATGTAGGAGATTCCCCCACAAAGGTTAATACTTTTTTTTGTTGTTTACTTTGCCATTTTTATTGATAATTAGTACTTATTTTTCTTTGATCATATACCTATATTTGTATTTCTGATATGATTCATATCCAAATAATTATTTTGTTTCTGTATTTACTTTTGTTTTCTTTATGTCATTATTCATTTAATTATGACACTTTTTTTAAAATCTTTGAAAGTTTTTTTTTTTTTTTTTTGCTATAAGCTCACTTAAAAAATTTTTTCAAATCCTATTATTTTTATTTATCTATCAAAAGAGAACTTGAGTGTCATTTATTATGTGATATTTTATATTAGTATTTTATTTTTCAGCAGAATAGTTTAAGATTATACTTTTACAGCTAAAAACTTATTACAGAATAATCTTTTTTGAGTGTTCTATTCTTTAAAGGCAATTAGGAAAGTAATCTCAATTGCACTTTGAAATTAGTGTACATCAAGCTATAATAGAGAAAACTTATGTCACCATTTGTTTAGCTAATTGCAAAATATGTGTTGTCTTTTTAAAACTTGACAAGTTGCACAGAATAAAAAAACCCCTCATAAATTCAAACATTATAATTGTATGTCATACGCTTTCAAAACAATTTGAGTGAATATGTGTTGGTTTGATTTTCCAATAAAGGAGAAGCACTAATGATGAACATAAAAATGTGAAGCTGCTCTGTGTATTATGTATAATGTTACTTAAATGTTTTATTAAGCTCCTTCAATGCTTAATAATGGAATTTATGTGAATGTGAAATTTTATTTTATAAATGAATAAAAATCTTACTATACTGCAAATTAATTAATATAAACTTAAAATTTAATGTAATTTTTAAATATAATAAATTTTGATGCATGAATTTAGATTACAGCTAAATTATTTTCACCAATAATTAAAAATTCATGAATGTGGCAACTTTTACATAAATTTTTGTTTATATTTTAGGTTTCTTCATCTGCACATTTAAGTGGATCATCTGAAAACTCACTTAGGAAGAATTCATCTGCAAGTGTGAGTTTCTTAATACCTATTTATGCAACTTTTTATGTCTGTTTTAAAAGTTTGTTGATACACAAATAGCATTATATTAAATAATAGTGTATTAATGAACCTCAACTGACAAAACAGAAAATAGAGAAATGTTAGCCTCATAACCCATTTTTAGAAAATGACAGTTTGTGAAAGGAGATTTGTTCGTACCTGCCAATTCTCCTGTTTTTTTTAAAGGAAAACTCCTGTATTTTACCACTTCTGTTTGTCCTGTACATTCTCAAATTTCTACTTATTTGTGGAAATTGAAGTTTAAAAAAAAATGACGATAAAATATCCTGTTGCCAATACTTCTCTTATCCCATAACAGATAGTACTATAGCCAGCACTGCAATATGTTGAATGTTAATAGAGTTTAAGTAATTATAAATAATGGTTTAAAATAATATTTTTAAAATTAAGATTTATATAAGTGTTTTTTACTTCACTAAATGTAAGTGCTTATATTATTTCCAATTTTGATTTTCTCTTTTTGACTTGCATGATTATGTATGATGTATCGAAACTTAACTCATAGTCTGAAAAATGTTGCTAGTAAAATCTCTGTCACTTTATTTCTCCAATGTTGGCAGATATGCTTGCGTTAATCTTTAAATGGTGCTTATTTTTTCTGTAGAAAAGTTTCTCTTATTTATTATTCTCCCGCTCTCTAAAACTGAACTGAAAATCTCTCCCATTTTTGCTGATCGCAGGGACCAACTAAACATTACCAAATATTTTTCTAATAGCAAATCTTTCTTTTCTTGACAATTTCTTTTTTGGTTCATTTTCTGTCATATTAAAGCCCATGATTTGCATTGTTCTATTTTATATAGTGCATGGACATTCTTGCCCTTGACTTGAGGATTGTTTACTTATCAAATATTTTAAGTGGATTTGGAACAGTCAGCAATCACAGAGCTTCATTTTTTTTTCCATTTGATTTAATAATTAAAATTTAAGAATGAGAGATTTCCATGGTGCGTAGCTTTTTTAAAAAGTGCTTATTTTCGATTTTCATTTTTTAAAAGCCCTTAAAGGTGCTTTTTTTCTTGATGTTTTTAAAAAGTGTTTAATTTTTCCTTTTCGAAAAGAAGTTTTTTTTATTTACCATGCTGATTTTCGCTGCATATTATGCGAAAGTGTGGTTTTTGCATTGTTCTATTCAACGCTTTCACAATTCATTTAATCACAATCCATTTTGGCGTGATGTCAGTCCGTAATGTATGATAGAGCCAATCATGTTGCATGTTTGATGAAATACTTTGAAATGACTACTGAGCTGTGTTCAGTGAGATTCTTGCACTCTCATGTGCAACTCTGCTACATTTTGCGAGATATTCTCAAGTTTAGGTTTCACTTTCTACCTTTTGAAATTGAACCGAAAATTTTCTCTATATTTTTATGGATGCTAATATAATCAAGAAAAGAGTTATTTGTCAGAAACTAGTTATTTTATCAAGATCACGTCTTTGAAAAGTTTTGTTGCGTTTTGTTAAGTACTTAAAAAATTTTTTGAGTGCTTAAAAAGTACTTAAGAAGGTGCTTATTTTTTGTTGAGAGATTTGCCTACACACCCTGGATTTTGAATCTGAAGGACTTTCCACTAATTGTTTGAAGTATTTTAAGATTTTTATTATAGTCTTATTTTACTGGATTTGTTGCTTCAAATTTCGACATTCTTGAGTTATTTCATGAAGAAAAAAAAATTTTGTGAGGCAATTTCTTTCTTTCTTTTTTTTTTTAAAGTGTGAATTGAGAGCCTTTTATGTATTTAATATTTTGAAAAAGTTATAAGAAGTCTTGTGATTTAAATATCTCATTAAAAAAATTAATTTATCTCTTTATTATTTGATTTAAAAACATTTGTCATTAACAAATGCAATTCAATAATTCCAAATTATTTATTAAATATGACTATAGGGATCACATATTAAAAAAATTTTTTGACAAAAATGTTTAGCACCTATACTAACTATATTTTTATTTCAAAATTATTGAAACTATTTTTTGACCACTTGATTTGAAAACTATTGATCATATATGCAGATTTTAAAAGTAATTTGAAAAGAAATCATCCATAAATTTATATTAGTTATAGGAATTTATTTAGATTTTCTTTATTTACTTTATTGTTTACACGTCTCTATCACTTCAATGATGTTAATTTTATTGTTTTTGTACAGTATACATATCTAAATAATTATTTAAATTTAAAAAATACTCAGGACAACTATTTATTAATTTAACATAACTAACTGTCCTTAAATTGAAATTTCTTTTTGCATGATTTACTGAAGTAATTTTTAAAAAATGGAAGGAATAACTGTATTACATGTTTTTAAAATTATGCATAAAATGTTTTTATTTAAATTTTTTGGCACTTTTTTAATCTTATGTATATATGTTTTAAATAATAAAAAGAAAAATTTAATTGGTGCATGATTTTCAGTGCCTTAAAATATTTTTGAGTGTTTAAAAAGTAGTTATATAACATTGAAAAATTTGTCTACATATCCTGGTTAAGTGTGTCACTTAGTATATTTTTCATTCAATTACTACTAGAAATTTGCAAACATTTGTCTTTAAAGAAAATATCGCAAAATAAGAAAGCCACAACACAGGCTCGAAAAAAAAGTTTTTTTGAAAATGGATGTTTCTTAAATAAAACTAAAATAATCCTAACATATATATATATACAAAAAAATTTTTTTTTCTCCTTAAGCTTATTGTAAAGCTTTTAAAGATAGGATGGCATAATTTTAGTGATTATTTGCATATGTTATGCACTACCTTATGCTCAACAATTTCTACTTTGTAGGATGCTGGCGTCAGCCGTGAGGTTCCTCCTGGTGAATTTTCTGCAATAGAAGGAGATTTGGAACAATCAGAAATGATTTCAAATGTAAGAAATGGTTATAGCAATGGATTAATCGCTGCTAATGAAAAGTATCAGTGTAAAAGAAGATTAACTTATACTAAATCTTAAGAGTTTATCTTTAAAATTGCTGTGCAGTCTTTTTAGTTTTGAATTTGTATTTGTTATATTATGCCATTAAATTAACACCTTAAAATGTTACCACTTTTTGATTATTGAAACTAAATTAATTAAAAAAAAATTTGGAATAGTTTTTGGATACCTGGGAATATTTGTTTTGAGGCATTATTTCTCCATATTACNAAAATTGCTGTGCAGTCTTTTTAGTTTTGAATTTGTATTTGTTATATTATGCCATTAAATTAACACCTTAAAATGTTACCACTTTTTGATTATTGAAACTAAATTAATTAAAAAAAAATTTGGAATAGTTTTTGGATACCTGGATACCTACATATTGGATACCTTTGGATACCTACATATTTGTTTTGAGGCATTATTTCTCCATATTACAGGATGTGTACTGTTTTTAAAAAGTGTTTAAAGGTTTTTGATTTACCTTTTTAATAGCCCTTAAAGGTGCTTTTTTTTTTATTCGGGGTTTGTAAAAAGTGCTAAATTTTCTACCTTTTGAAAAGAGTTTTTTTTCTTTGCCATTTGTCATTTCAATTGTCATTTTGAATTGTAGGAAATTCACAATTTTCTCTGCAATATTTATTAGAAACTAGTTATTTTGTTATGATTATGTACAGTTTTTGAAAATGTTTTTGAATTTTATTCATTTTATGTTTTTAAATTAAAAACTTTTAAGGATAGAAAAAAATAATTTTTTTTTGCTGCACAGTTCCTAATTGATTTTTTATTTTATTTTTGGAAAGTAATTAGAAATATTGTTGAGTGCTTAAAATGTACTTGAATGGTGCTCATTTTTTGTTAAAAATTCTGGCTACGTACCCTGTTTTATTCAAATGCTAATGACTCTTAATTTTATGATATAACTGCTTTGATTGATTGTAATAATGTCTAAAAAATAATGTTTTCATTATTTAATTTTTAAATTGGCCTTGTGAATTTTATTATAAATTTTTTGTGGCAATGCTTTATTAGTGTAATGAATTATTTATTTTTTTTTTGGTTTGAATTGTTTTTATTTAGAATTAATTTCTTTTCAATTAATTTATTTAATTATTTTTCTTCCTATTGTTTTTATTTATTTTGTATATATTTTATTAATTTAATTACAATTTTATAAAACTTTAAAATGTGATTGGTATTATATTAATTATTTACAGGGAGCGTTGGATTTTTAAAAAGTGCTTAAAGGTGCTTATTTTTGATTTATGTGTTTTAAAAGCCCTTGAAGGTGCTTTTTTTTATTCGAGGTTATTAAAATTCTTTAATTTTTAATCTTTTAAAAAGAGATTTTTTCTTTTTCGTGTCGATTGTTATCATAAATTACAAAAAATGCATGATTTTCAAAATTTTCTCTGCTATATTTATCAGAAACTAGTTATTTTATTGTGATTATGTAAAGTTTTTGAGTTTTATTGATTTTATGTTTATCAATTAAGAACTTTAAACGATAAAAATTTTTTTTATTACTGCATTGATTCTAATTATGATTTTTTTTCCAAAGTGATTAAAAATATTTTTGAGTGCTTAAAAAGTGCTTATTTTTTGTTGAAAAATCTGGCTTCTCACCATGATTTAACTTTTTCAGTTTACTTTCTAATTTCAAACTAATTTAAAAGTTAATTAAATGAATGTATTACAATAATTACAATATAAAGTTATTAATACAGTAATTATTATCCTAGGTATTATCCCTATAGTGATCTTTTCTATTTAAATTTTTTCTCTTTTAATACCATCATAAGATTATTTCTTCTGTGTTATTTCAGAGATTTCTTACATATTTTTGTTTTGAATATAATCATCAGCATGTTTTGTATTTGTCATTTTTTTAAAATTTATCATTAGAATTGTGCATGTATTCAACAATTTATATAACATAAAACTCTGTAAACCTCTCTGGCTCATTCTGTCAATGCATGTTCTGCTTTTGAATTTTTTCTATCTATCAATTTTTGTCTTGATTTAAAGACATTTAATGTATGTGTGCTTAACAATCCATGTGCTTGTCGGTTAGTTGCCTTTTCGTGAATTCCCTGCTTATTGTTATGCATTCTATTATACTAACTCTATTTAAGTTTCTTATTATATGTTTAATGCATGGAAATAAAAACTGCTTACAATGATAATTATTGCTTTCTTTTTTTAACTTTCTTTGCCTTTTTGTAAATTTTTTTATACTAATAAAATGCATGTTGTATTTATAAGTGAAATATAAAAAATCCTAATATTTTTTTGTTATTTACATAATGGCATTGTTCACACAGTTTTTTTTCCTGCAACATTTTCTAGTGCTAAAACTATAAAGTTAGATAGCTTGATATTTTATTTTTAAATTTAAAATTTGTTTAGATATTCTACTTTAATTATTTTATTAGAAGTTTGAAGAGATATTTTTAATTTAATTTTTATGAATTTGAATGTAGTGACTTTTGAATTTCTAACTTTTGGTTATTTTATTATGACTAATTATATTAATTTTATTGTTCCATTAAATTTGTGTAAATTTTTTAAAAAATCTGTATCCAATTGATGCTTTTTTTACTATCCCCCCCTTTGAAAGTATGATTAAATAAATTTACCAGTCTAAGAAAATTTTATTTAGGAGATAATAAATTTATTTAAAATAGTTAACTTTATTAGTTAGCCTGTCATTTGAATAAAGATTTTAAGCCATTTTGATAAAAGTGTAAATTAATCACTACTCTTGATCAGTAAATAATTGCAGGAGTGTACAAAAAATTTTGAAAATGCAAATATGCCTTAGGAAATTTTTTGCATTTCTTTTTATGAAATTTTTAATTACAGTTTAACATAAATGTGGTTTTCTCAGTGATACAGCTTCTGATATTTTGTTTTTCTATTTTAATCAGGGTTTTGGAATTTATGGGTTTGTTCTCATAAATCTTTTCCATAAAAATCATCTAAAGCGTGTTTAGCAACATTAAATCCGATGTAACAGCCAAAACATGTCTTAAACAGGACAGTATATGGAATGAAAATTGATGAAAAAATAATTCTATCTAAAAATAATTCTTCTACCTGCAGCTCAAAAAAGTGTCATTTATTAGATTTACTGTTTTTTTTACAAGAGTTAAAATTTAATTACTCAATCTTTGGGATAAAGTTACATTGCTTAAAAAGTTGGGTATTAAATTTGAGAAATAAAATATCCCATTTGGAGCGTTCTTAAACGTTATAGGGATGTTCAGTGCATACCCTCCAACAGCTGTGAAATTTCCCTACTTTTAGAAAATAACTTTTTTAGTGCTTGCAGAAAGTTAATCCATTATTATTTCAACAAATTAGAATTGAAGGAACTTTTGTTTACACTATGTATAAATACATTTATAAAGGTCAGATTGACAAATAGTCATATTCTTTAATTGTTGTAAGAATTTTGTCAGATTTCTATTTGTTAGAAAGTTTTCTGCTTTGGTTCACTACTACTGGAAAAAAACATTTCCAGCAGACTTAAAAAATTAGAGGATACGCCCTGTACCTTTGTTGAAATTGTCTTTAAACATGGTGCTTAGCGTTTTTAAAAAGTGCTTAAAGGTGCTTTTTTGATTAAGTGTTTTTAAAAAGTGCTTAATTTTTCTGTTTCAAAAATAAGTTTTTTTCTTTACCATATCGATTTTTGCCATGTAGTGTGCAAAAGCGTGCTTTTCACATTGTTTTGTTCAAAGTTTTCATAATTCATTCAACCACTATCTATTGCAGCGTACCGTCGGTAAATACCGTATGAAAGTGCCATTCATTTTGCATGTTTGATGAATTATGAATACTTATGAGTCTGCATGTTTGTTTACTGAGTTGGGTTCGGTGAGATTCATGCTCTCGCATGTGGAACTCTGCTGAATTTTGCAAGAAATTCTTAATTGCAGGCTTCATTTTCCACCCTCTAATATCAAACCAAAATTTCTCTTGATCATTTTATAATGGCTAATATAATCAAAAAAAGAGTTCTTTGTCAGAAACTAGTTATTTTATTATGATCATGTAAAGTTTTTGAAAATTATTTTGCATTTCGTTAATATATATAGTGCATAAAAAATAATTTTGAGTGCTTAAAAAGTACTTAAAAGGTGCTTCTTTTTGTTGAAAGATTTGGCTACGCACCCTGTTAAAATATTCTGTATAAAAAAGGAGTCTTTAAAAAAAAAATTAATGAGGCTTGTTTCTCTAAATGGTTTATTTAAATCAAGAGCGTTTTCTTTTTTTAGTATTTATACATTAATAAAAACTAAATACGTTATACATAATAAAGTAGCAATAAATGAAACGAAGGAAATAAAAATATGACCACCGAAGCCGACGTCTTCGGGGGGTACCAGCCCTGGTAGCCATAAAACAAAACCTTTCCTATTGAGGGGGAGGCAAATGCCTAAAGTAACACCCTCAGTACCCCGAAGGTTTTGTGTAGAAGTCCAGGAAAAAACATGAAATACAAAGAACCTATTTAGAAAAGAAACTCAAGCAAATTCATCAGAAAATAAAAACTCAAAATTCACTTTAACCAGGTCAAACATCGATTTCATAAGCACACTGAATGAGAAGTCTTCTTAAAAAAATAAATAAATGAAATTTAACCAATAAGTTATTCATTTAAAATGTTAATTTTCTGTAATATAATAATAAAAACAATTAGATCTAGCTTTTTCTATCGAAACAGCAGAAATATTTTTATTCAAAAATAGTTGAGAATATGTAGGTATTTTCCTAACATATTTGAAAATCTGTCCCCTATTTCTCTCAATGTCTTTTTCATATTTTACACTTATATTTCCTGTATGTGTTTTAAGTAAAACAAATGTTGTAAAATAATGTAACTTAAATGTTGCAATTTGTAGCAGCATTTACAGGTATGGTGTGTTCACTCCAAATTATAATAGAAATTTTTTTCCTTTACTAAGATTTGTTCAAAAAGAAGAGGAAAAAAAACCTTTTACATTATTCTTTCTGTAGAAAAAAAAAAGAACATTTAAGATCTTCATTATTAAATAGCTTCTTTTTAAAAGTAACATTAAATATATAAACAGTAAGATTTTATGAAAACTTTTAACAGAATTTAAGAATGGTATTTTTATTAATATTTTTTTTTTCTTTCACTGACAAGATCATTTTCTTTTACAGGAACCAGTAAGTCATTCTGAAAAAACCATTCAATGTGATTTAGGATCACAGGTTATTGAGTCAAGTGATCTTGGTTTAGACATTTCTGATAAAAGCGATTCAAATGTCGAGACAATCAATAGACTAAAGAATGAAAATTATAGTTTGATGCATAAGATTGAAGAAAAAATTAAAATTATTGAAAGTTTTACTACCACCTTATCAGATATTGAAGAGAGAGAGCAAGAACTTAAAGACAAATTAGGGGAAGCTTATACAAAAATAAATTGTTTGGAAGAAGAGCTTGAAGAGAAACAAAATTTAGTAAGTATTTATTAATCCGATTTTTCTGAAAAAATATATTTTGATTTGCACGGTATTTGAAAATTTTATAAAAATATAGGAAATATTTTAAAATATATGTTAAATGGTTATGAAATTAAAAAAACAATTATTATTGGAATTATTAAATTGAAGTAAATTATAATATGCCCTGTCTAAAAAATTTCATTAGTTCTAACTGTAGGCAAATAAGCAAAAATATATAGCTTTTCATAAAATATCTTGATTTATAGTTTTGAGAATTATATTGTTAATAATAGCAGGGTATCTGCGCACCTCGAGAGTCATGGATTTCGGTATTGAACGAAATTTGTCATGAAATGTCACGATTTTAACTATTTTTTTTTTTTAAAAAAATCATGAAAAGTCATGGATTTAGGTCACCTAAAAATCAGATTTTTAAAATGGAATCCCCCCTTCCCCCAATTTCATGGTGTTCCGAATATCTGAATTTCTAACAAAATCCCCAGTCACAGTCATATTTGATTAAAATATAAAATGTTTTTACCGTGTTCTTTAAAAATTGTGGTGTTCTTTCAAAAAAAGAAAGAAAAAACATCGTTTCTAGAGTGAATTATCTTTTAAACTTCTGTGATTTCAGAATTTTTGTTATTTATTATTTTTATTTTATCAATTTATAATTTTGACTGAAGTGAGGCAGTCATTGGCGAATTTTTTTATTCCGACATGAGAACAGGAAAATCAGGATGAACAAGAAAAGTATCTTTAGCATGTAATTCTGCAGGAAAAAAAAATTATTTGCTTTTGTATTTTTTTCAGCTATTTTATTGCTTCAACTTTTTCTTTAATTGCTAATTGCTTCAACGTTTTTTAAATTTAAAATCTATAAATATGAAGATGCAGAGTACAACAGTTTTGGTTATACCTATTATTTCAATTAATGTTATTATAATGCTTTTTTAAATTTATTGTTATGTTTTTGTGGGAGAAAATAGTAACTTCGTTAAGTCATGAAAAATTCTTGAAATTAGTTATGGATAGTCCTGAATTTAAAAATCTGAAATGTAGCAGATACCCTGTAATAAGTACTTCTAATAATAGTTACATTTTAAGTTAGGAAAAATTAATAGATTTTTTCCTTACATATATATTGCTAAACAAAGGAAACAAAAAAAATATCCATGATTGGGAGTTTCCATAGTAGGGAAATCCCTACTATGGAAATAAAAATATCCATAGTCGAGAAATTAATTTTGCATTTACCTAAGTATAATTAATTATACTTAAATAGAAATGTTGGGGAGAAGTAGACCTGAAAATACTCACTCGCCGCATGGTGAGGCAGCAAATAAAAAGTAGTGACTTAAATAAACAGGTCTCTTTTTTTATTGTCTAATAATTCAGGTACATCAATGCAGAAAGACTGGAGAACAAAATTTTCATTAAAATGTTCAATGTGCTCATTAAGAATCCATTAACTTGTGACAGACTCATGTGGAAAGAGTATTCTTTAACAACTCATATATTTACAAGTTGTATACACAAAATGTATTTTGCCTTCCCAGATATTGTTAAATTAAGTTCTTGAAAGTCAGTATGTTTAACTACAATTTTGTCACATTTTGTTATATTGTTTTTATTGTTGAATTAACTTTTTATAGCTGTAGATTATTTCTAATGTAATTGTTTTTAAAGAAAAAAAATCTGATTTAATCCAAGCAAAAAAAAAAAAAGTTTTGCAAGAAGTGGCTATTAAATGAAAAGGACCTATCGATATCTGTCACCGACTAATTATGTTTAAGAAAATTTGGCTATTATGTAATTAGTGTTCCAGCCACTGGCTACTGACAGAAAATTTAAATTTTCAGGTCTAGGGACTTATATTTGAACAATCATGCTAATTAATATAATTATTGAAAACTATTAATATATTTTCTTTCGTAGCTGGACTTAGAGCTTGATGTTCCATTTGTTAGCTCAGCTGATAAAGCGTCTCAGTATGACTTAGGAACTCAGACCGAAAGTTTAATACAAGAAATTAATTCAGAAATTATTCAAAATTTAACTGCAAATTGCTCTGATTTAGAAAAGCAGGAGCGAGAATTGAAAGATCAATTAAGCAAATCTTTGTCAAAAATCAAGAGTCTTGAATTAGAACTCCAAGAGACAAAAAGCCAAGTAAATAACTATCATTGCGTTTTTCGATTTTTATTTGTAATGTTAAGTCTGGTAAAAATTCCAAAAAACCATTGTAGCTTAAGGAGCATATATCATCTACCTTGATTATTTATTATGACTCCTTGATTATTCAAAATATTATTCATCTTGATTTTTATTGCTAATGTTAAATCTAACAAAAATACGAATTTATGGCAAAAATGTATTTAACTTTTGAGCATCAATATATAATCCAGTTTTTTTTTATTTTTAATTCAAGATCTTTACTTTTAAAAATTTATTGGAAGCTTTTAATTTTGGTAGCTTGAATTTTAAAATCTTTGTTTTAAACAAGAAGTATAAGTGTTTAGCCATTTTGGAGATAAAATATTATAAGCAGTTTGGTTTAGCTCTCAAAAGTATTTCTTTTTCAATTAAATTAGGCAGTGAATATAAAAACTAAATGCTCTCTATAAAATTGATTCTTTGCCAAAGTGAACAGTATTGTTGCATATCGATACTGCCATTCCTGAATTTAGAATTCTTAGTGAAAGAGCACAGTTATTTCAGTTTTGCTTTGGAGGGGAAAGTAATAAAAAGAGTGTTTGTTCAGAATTGGAAAGGGGCATGATAACAAAAGCTGAAACAGAAGAGAAATTCATCATTGTATGTTTGCTATTTATAGCAAATACAGCATGTCCTTGACAAGTGTGCAAGAAAGACAGAAGAGATTGAGTGGGAAGACGCAAAGCAATGCATATGAGGACAGGTCCATCGAACCATTATGCCTGATCTAGGAAAACCGACAAAATTCAAAGATAATCTTGTTCTAATCCGCATTATTCATGGGTCTGTGCATGCTCTTATCAAAGATCATTACTTTTCCATTTTTGATCACCTGCTTAAATAAAGCGAATGTCGGATCGATTCCTGCAATATATTGTTAAGTTGGGTGATATTGTGGGTCCTTTGGCGATTTACCTCTTTTTACAAGACTGAAATAAATAGTCTTATCCTAGTAGTGTATATATATAATCAAGCTTTTAGTAATAACCTTTGTATGTGACTGATGCCATGATCACTTTGTAGCATGTGTCTAGTTTTGCTTTGACCACTCTTCATATATTTTTCTTAACAAATTAGCAATTCATTTATATATTATGCTTAAAAAAAGACTTATCCTGCTGTTAAAATTTCTTGTTTACCTTTGATCTTAATTTTGAAGTACGTTGGAATTATTTATCAAATTGGAAATATTCAAATATGTATAAATTTCAAGAGCTATGTTTGTTTCGGCCCGTCTTTTAGCATCTTTTTCAGTGATTTTGCTAGACTTTAATAATTATGGTTTCTACACCCAGGACTTTCGAATTTCTGGCTCCTTTTTTCACTAAAAGCAGCAAGTCCCTATTTAAAACATCTCTGTTTTAAAGATACATAAAATGGAAATATTTTATGATTAGGGGGAAAATGTGATTAGTAATTGATTCACTTTTTACCATCCAAGCATTGAGTCCTTCGGTAAAATTTGATGGAATTTTTCTCTGCTTTGTACTACTCTTTCAATGAATAACAAAAAGAAAACTAGTTTTTGATGTAGGAACCTGCAACTAACGGTTCAAGAAAGCCAGACAATCATTAAGATGGTTAATAATTCCACAAAAAATTAAAATCAATTTTTGGACTGGAATTTTTTTCATTTTCTTGTTTTGAAACTAATACAGAATAATTTTTTTTAAAAGTTTATGTTTTACCTATATAAATGTGCTAGCTTGCTATTTTTTATTCTATTTTTTCTTATATTAAATTATGTGTTCCTCAACAATTTTTAGAGCATAATTGATGTGCTATAGCACAAAAGTGACTCGTTTTCCTTTTATTTACAAAATTAAAAATGATGTTTATGTTTTTAGATTTCAAAGGATGTAGAAAAAGGGGATTCTTTCTCTCAAACTGATATCACTTGGCATTCTCTTCAGTCAAGCATATCAGATAAGAACTTGCAAGAATTCGGAACCTCTGACAATATCAATGAATTGAAAGAAGAAATCCTGATGCTTATACTAGCCATTGAACAGAAAGATAAAGAGCTCTCGGATAACAATCAAAGGTTCATGTCACATGAGAGTTTACTTATGCCCGTAGATGAAGTAAGAAATTTCTTGATACTATTTAAAGTGAAATTAAATATGTTATTGGATTTTATAGGATAGGTTCTTTTGTCAATGATTTTTATGAATGTAAAAATAATTCAACTGGGGCTTAAGGCTAGTTCAATTTTCTAGTAATTTAATTGTGGTAAACCTATAACTCTCATGCCACTCGGTGCACATGACAGGTACAAGAATCGTACAAGGTAGTTGTGACCAGTTAATGTACGAAAATGTGCCATGAAAATCTGCCGGGGAAAGGTCAATGGGTAAATAACTAAAGAGGAAATGTATTTGCACATCGTAATTCTAGTTTTAAATAAAAGCAGAAATTTAAAAAAAAAATTAAAAAAAATATTGCATGTGACGCCCTGGATATTTGAAATTTATAAATTCTAATTGAACTGGCACACTAATAGAAAAATACCCCATGTTTTCATTTTCAAAATTTCTTTGTACAATTTAAAAAAAATTTTTAATGAAAGAATGCAAAATTAACTTATGTTGTTATTAAGATGCATGAAGTTTTGTCATAGTTTTGACACTGTGATTTCAGGGTTATACAACTGAGCGGGATGAATTACATCGTAGACTGGCCATTTCCTGTTCTGTTAATAATGAACTGTTGAAACACTTGCAAAGTTTAGAAAGATTTATGGAAGATCTGTTACAACAGAAAAATGCGTCTACCAGTAGCTTGGAAAATATAAATGAAAATGCAGATTTCCTAGCACGTTTTTCTGATTATGTTGATCGGAGTATGAAACTATCTCAAACTTTATCTAACCAACTGTCCAGTAAGTATTTAAAATGCATTATTTCTCCTTTTTCTTACTTTAAGTAGAAATCTTCATATGCATGTTTTTTTTTAATCATTCTTTTGCTTTTTCTGAAGACTTTTTCGCATTTAATGTTTCGTAAATAAAGTAGGGCCTCTAAAAAACTGTTTCCATCATGGTACTTTCCAGTACAACCAAGCTAACTTGTTTTTTTTTTAGATTTAAAAAAAGTCTTACAGCATAGTCAAATGCAAGTTGAGACAACTAAGTCATTATAATAATTACTTATTTATGTGTACAAAACGAAGTCAATAATAATTTTTGTAACCATAATGATTATCTTAATTGTAAAATACAATGGAGGAAGAGTATGTCATGTATTGGTTTTTTATAGAAATTAAAAAATATAATTTAAAAAATATGAAATTGTTATGACCTCATATAATCAATAATTTTTCTACAATTTAAATATTTATCAAAAATTTTTTGTTTTGAAATTCGTATAACTTTTTCATTGTTTGTTTACGCATACATTGTTTGCTTTCTTTTTTCTCCCTTTGTAAATTAATCATATATTTATTTTATAGTCTGTGAAGGTAGCAGAATCTTTGATTTGAATGATACAACAATGCAAAGAAGTGATTTTGATGTCAGTGACCGAAAAAGGTATAAACACAAATTTAGTTTCGAATTTTGCTGTTTAAATTTTTTTTATTCACTAAGACATATATTTTTATAAAACATGGTGCCATGGGTGCAAGTCTTCCGCCCCCAGGACGGATTTCCGTCTTTCTAAAATGTCCGGGACGGAAGTAAGACGGAAACAAGACTGACTCGAAGACGGAAATCTGAATTTTTTTTTTTTCTGTTCTTAAAAATATTTTTTAGGTCTATGTTATTGGTCAACTTTCTTATGTCCTGTTGTTTTTTTTTATCAAAAGACAGATGAATAAATATTTTTTGTACAGCATTTAAACTTGATGTATTATGATAAAGCTTTCTTTGATAGTTTGCATACGTCGGGGGGGGGGTATTGTGTATGTTAGGTATTTCAGTCAAAAATTTTCAGCCTTGGCCTTTTTTTCCAACTTGCACCCATGCATGGTGCATAGCGTTTTTAAAGGTGCTTATTTTAGTTTTTTAAAGCCCTTAAAATTGCTTTGTTCTTTTTACTGGACGTTTTTAAAAAGTGCTTAATTTTCCCTTTTCAAAAAGGAGATTTTCGCCATGTATTGTACAAAAGCGTGATTTTCACATTGTTCTATTCAATGTTTTCACAGTTCATTCAAACACAATGTGGCGTACCATCGGTCCGTAGGGTATGTAAGCGCCAATCATTTTACATGTTTGATGAAATGCTTGCAGGTCCGCATGTGCGTATACTGAGCTGGGTTCGGTGAGATTCTTGCACCCGCGTGCAACTCTACTGCATTTTGCCAGACATTCTCAATTCCCAGCTTCATTTTTCACCCCCTAAAATCAAACCGAAAAATCTCTATCATTTTATGATGGCTAATATAATTAAGAAAAGAGTTCTTTGTCAGAAACTAGTTATTTTATCATGATCATGTAAAGTCTTTGAAAATGATTTTGCATTTTGTTAATGTATATAATGCTTAAAAAGTAGTTAAAAGATGCTTATTTTTTGTTGAAACATTTGGCTGTGCAACTTTTCTAAAGGTGTATATTGTAATACATGATTTTGTATCGTGTTTCTCTTTGTAGGAAAAAAAATCAATTTAAATCTTTTATTTTTTTTTCTTCCTAATTATCTCATTTTTTCCATACATAATTATTTTTGCAATTTACAATGTTTTTCACCAAAAAAAGGGATTTTGCAATTATAAAAGAAACTAAATGTATTGCTGAGAAAAACATTTTCAGTTTATTTCTCAATAATTTAATTATCTGGTTACATTAAAACTGTAACTTTCTCAGTACATACATATATGGAGTGAATATTTCTCGAATCAAAATTAACTATTCCTCTAAGTTTAAATTAAATATCATTTTAATAAGATAATACTAAAAATTAAAAAAAGATTTTTTTCCCTTAATTGCCACATTTAAACTATAAAGGGCTCATAATTTTTGCCAAACTATTTAGAAAATAGTAGTAAAACTAACATTTAAGAATAATTATAATAATTAGTTTTACCATAAATACTTTTCTAAATTTTTTTGTGATTTTCTAAGTTCAAAACGAAATTAAAATGTCTTACGGTTATATGAATATTTAATCCTTTTGAATTTTTGAGACTAATCAAATTTGTATCAATTTGAAGATATCAGATTGTATCATTTTGAAATAGGAACGGGCTCGGACTAATAAATACGCTAAGTTCTAGTGGATGCAACCTGGAGTAATCCTTTGCCCAAGTTTAGTACAAATAGGTACATTGATACTACTTGCTTCTCAGCGGTATTTATATGGAGCTAGTCCAAAATTAATACGATTCCAGATGAGTACTGCCACCATTTAGAGGCTTAACAAGATTTTAAAAAATATTTTTCCTTTTTTAATGCTTTAGTAGATTTTAAAGTTTAGAAATGAATTAATACAAAATATCCTTGATATTTTCATGATATATTCATTTATGGTAATAGATACTTTTAAGCACTTAATTGCAAAATTTCAGATACATTGATACAGGTCCAGCTCTAATAAACAGTTAGTAGCTGTTTTTGTAAAACGTATTTGAATACATACTTTTCATTTTCTTCAGTGTCATTACCCCATAACTTATTGCACTCTCTTGTACTTTGCATAATTCACTACTCAATTTATTGTGCCATTTACATTTCAGTAACTAAAATATCGTAAAAAAATGTGATCGAAATGAATGACTTTTCTAAAATTTAAAACTACTTTTAGATAAATAATTTATTCTTTTTCCGTTACAGCATTGGCGGCTTACTGGATTCTCAGTTTAATCAAGAGGAATCGGATATTCCATATATTTATCAAGAAGGTAGGCGTAATTTTTATCCATCTGTCAAAGAAAATCAAAATATCTTAGCATCAGGCGAGTCGAATTTGTCGGAAATCTATAGCTCACGAAAACTCCAATCTTTCACTGGAAAAAGGCAAACAGCCGATTCCCTTATGGGCAACCCTGACAATGTTGTAGTTCTAAAAACCAGCAACAATGAGGATTTGATTCTTTTGCTGAACGATCAAGGCGATCCCAAAGATGTTATAATCAGAAATAACGGCGAGCAGAGCAGAAACTCCGATCAACATCGCAGGCGATGTTGGGATGCACCTACAAACAACGATTTTTGGAATAGCGAAAAATTTGCTGCACAGTACAAGGAAAATGTTTATAATGTAGAAAACAGTAATGTGTTTAAATCAAATTACATGAGATACAACACGTGGATGTCTTCCGACTCCGACACCTGGTCTGAACCTGATCGGAACGTTTCTATGCAGAGGATTGGTATTGATGTTCAAACATCCCCTATCACCTCCAGATCGCCAAGAAAATCACGTTATAAGGACAGGAGAGCAGCTGAAGACTCGACTAAAAATGAATCAGCTTCTAGCTATGTGAAACTACACTCATTTTCGAAACGAAGGAGAAGTAGCGGTAAAATTGAATGGCTTGCTTTATACGTGTATCATAGTCAGCTTATGCCTGTTAGCATGATGTGTTTTAGTGTAAAATGTGGCATGCTTTTGTATTTGTAGGCGTGTTTTATGTTTTTGCTTTTTATAAGCGTGCATACGTAGGTGTTGTAGATTGTTATGCATTTGCATGATGAGCGTAGGAAATAATGAAGTTTAAATCTAAGTATGGCTCAGTTATCACAACTATTCTGTTATTGTCTGATTTGATACGGTTTAGTAAAAATACTATGGTATTAAAGTCCATATTTAAGTTTATCTACCATCTTAAATTTATCTTGTCCTTATTAAGTTAAGTTCATTATTTAAAATCCATATTTAAGCTTGTCATATTTATTGTCCATATTTTGATTAATATAATTTTAGAGTTTCTTCAAACATCCAGAACAAATTGAATTGAATATCAGTTTTTCAAATAATTCTCTCTAAAAATAGTTTTAATTTATTTACTTCTCCTCCAAGATTTTTTTTTTCATTAAACCAGTGATTATTCTTATATTTGGAATAATGAAGCTAAGGATAATATAGCATAGCAATGTATATATTTACATTGGCTCAAGGTGTAAAAGTCTAATTACGGTTTTTTCAATGCATTCAAGTTGTATAATACAAAATCAATGATTTTTCAATCATTATAAGTTGACAGAAGTAATTAGTAAAACAGTGAAGAATTAATAATGAAACTTGGCTGAGTATTAGTGTTTTTTTACTTGCCTAAACTGTACTGGAGACTTTTCCTTGTTGAACAATCCATTTCTTTCCTTAAATAATCAATCTGAATGCATGATTAATATTCAATTTGCTGTTATACTCAATAGATGAACAGCAACATTAATAAGAATAATTTTAATTATTCGAATGTTAACATAACTATTTCTTAATATACTGTTGTGAAATTTTTATATTTTATTTATCTTGAAACCATTAGGAGAAAATAATTGTTTTTACTTCATCTTACTAATCCATTGCCTATGTTTAGAAATATATAAGCTATGTCAAAAATGTTATTAATTATTATGCATGAAAGCTTATTTCAAATAATTTACTGATGCTTGATTAAGCTTACTAACATTGATGTTAAGTGATGCATTTATATTAATACTAATGCTTTAACTTCATTTATTTTTATTAACTGTCTCTTATAATTGATGTATTAGTTATACTAGTTTCTTTTATATAGAAACTTCAAAAAGCTCCTTCATCTGTAAAAAGTGCCAAAGACAATCTCAACAGCTTGATGACACTTTACAAGAAGAAAACAGTAATGTTAATGCCCAAGAGCTTCAACAGTTGTATGAGGAAAATTCTAGTCATCAAAATGAAATAGAAAATCTTTCAGAAATGCTTAAACAAAAAGAAGAACTAGTAGGTTCCCTTAATAAGGAAAAGAATGTCCTTGTAAACGAAATTAATGATTTAAAAGAAGAACTAGCAGAACTGCAGAGAAATAATCATTTATTAATTTCTAAGCAGAACAATTCGTTCTTAAAGCTGGAGGAAAAAGATTCATTAAATGAGGAACTGAAAGGAATAATCCGTAGTCTAGAAATGAATGTCGAAAGCTCAAAAGCTACATTTGAAGAATTGCAGACAGAACTCAATCAAACCAAAGAGCGCCTTATAGAACTCGACAAAAAATGTGCCAAATATGAAAAAACTATTTCAAGTGATAAAATAGAATATCAAAACAGAATTACTGCATTAGAACAAAAAGAAAAAGAACTTTTGGAAAATATCAAAGAAATGACTTTGCAGAAGGATAGTCTGTTAGATAAGCTGAAAAGTGAAGAAAAACGTGCAGCAGATGCGGCTAAAGAAGGATTAGAAATTGCAGAAAAGGTGAAAGCTACCAGTGAAGAAATATTGCAATTGCAGAATTGTAATAAAGAACTCCGAGAGCTAAATACTTCTCTTCTAAATGACAAAACATCAGTCGAAACAATTTTAGAATCTTCTAAATCTGAAAAAGAAACATTAAAGTCTGAAATCAAAAGTTTGAAAGAAGCAATTGAAAAATTAAGATCCAAGTGTGATTCGTTTGAAGCTGAAATTGACTTTGTAACTCACTCAAAACAAAATATTATAGATTTGCTTTTGAACTTTGAGAAGTCTTTTATGTTGAATCTTAAAACTTTAAGTAATGCGTGTAGTGTGAAGTTTGATACCAATGTTATAAACTTTGAAGATGTGGAAGAAATGCCATACTTAGTAGATGAAGATGAACATGTAAATGAATTACTGAAAAGAATTACTTTGGAAAATTTGAAATTTAAAGAATTGGCTTCTGATTTCACTGCAAAGATTGAAAATATTAAAAAAGTAAAGCAAAATGCTGAAGCTGAAAAGCATAAATCATCTATTTTGGAACATCAAATTGTGCTTAAAGATGAAGAAATTAAAACTTTAAATGATGAAATAGATAAACTGCAAACTTTGAATAATGAGATTTATGAATTACAGAGTTCAGTTGAAACATTTAGGGCTGATCATGAGTTATTGCCAAAACTGAAAGAAGATGTCGAAGAAAAGGAAAATCTTCTAAGAATTTTGAAAGAAAAAAATTGTGATTTAAATGAAAATGTGAAAATTCTGCAAAATGAGAAAAATAGCTCTGAACAGGCTCTTAAATCTGCTAATGATGAAATTTCTTCATTGCAAAAACGCCTTTTGTCAGAAAAATCAAGTGAATACTATCAGAATTTAGTAGATTTGAAGCAAAATGAAATAGGGAAATTACAAGAACAAATTGATGCCAAAGAAACTGCCAAATCCAGATCTGATGATGAATTATTGGAAAAACAGAAAAGAGTGATTGAAGAAAAGGAGAACCTCGTTAGAGATTTGAAGGAACAAAATTATGAATTAAAAGAGAACATAAAAATTCTTCAGAATGAGAAAAACAGTTTGAAGCAAGCTCTCAAATCTACTAACATGGAGTTGGAAATGAAAGAAAATGAAATCCTGCAATTACAAGAACAAATCGAATCCCACGAAATTGTTAAATCCAATTCTGATCAGAAACTGTTGAATACACAGAAAAAAATACTGGAGGAAAAGGAAAATTGTATTAAAACTTTGGAAGAGAAAGTTCTCGAATTCGAGAAATATGTTCAAATTTTCCAGCAGAAGCAAAACAATTCTGAAAAAACCCTAATTTCTGCAAACGCTAAGATTTCTGCTTTGCAAGAAAGTCTTACGACATCACAAAAATCAAATGAGGACTGTAAAAATTCATTAGACTTAAAGCAAAAACAGATTGACAAATTACAAGAACGCATCCTCACCTTACAGTCCCAAATCAATGAGCTTTTAACTGAAAAGATGAACCAGGGTGAAAAAAGTCAATCAAGACGAAAGTTAACTCCTGAAAGACCAGTTAGTCCTGATAGCTCTACCATTATGGAAGTTTCTTCAGATTCTCTGTTACACTGTGTGTCCACAAGCTTGGTCAACAGTGACAATTCTGGTTCTTTAGTAAAATCAGTTCAAAGTGACCAGATGATCTCATCAAATACAGTTAAAAAGGATCGGGAAAAATATTTGAAACATATTAAGTCCTTGCAGCATAAACTTGAAGAAGCCAGTAGCCGTAATGAAGTGCTCGAGAAAGAGAAAAACAGCCTGCGTGACAACTTACTATCTTGTGTTCATAATTTCAAAAGAAACAGCACGGAAAAAGCAAAAGAGGAAGAGTCAAAAATAGCAGAATTGGAATCAAAATTAGAAACCAAACAATCATTTATCAAGGAATTGAGAGCTGATTTGTATAAAGCGCACGATTCACTCATTGACAAGCAGAAAGATATTGACAAGCTGAAACAGGAGCTGTTTAAACTCAAAAAACTGAATGAAGACAATGCAAGAGCTCTGCAGCAAAACATTCCAGGCAGCAGGTTGTCAGATACTTTCCTGCTGAGCACAGAAGCTAATATCAGCGATTTGAGGAAGCATAAGAAAGAATTGATGAATTCTTTACTAGGTTTACAAAAGCAGTTTTATGAGGCAAAAAAGATTAGTACGAGTCATTTCGAAAAATCCACCCGTCACATAGAAAGCCTTAGAGCACTTCAAGTCAGTCCATCTTTGTCGAAATCTGAAAGTGCTCCCTTTCTCAATTATTACTCAATGTCAAATGCTGAACAAAGCAAGAAATGGGACAGAACTTTGAGAAATGCGAAAATCGATCTGGAAGTTGATATCGAATGTTTGCTAAACTTTAAAGTATTCCTGAAGAGATTCTTTTCACCGATAATGAGTCAAAGCAATGATGATGAAACAAAAAAGGATGAAATTGTGCAAACAGATCTTAAAGATGAAGATTCAAAGCCTGCCAAAAGTAAAGAAAACTCTAAGCTGCCTTCCAAAATTTTTTCAAACAGTATTGAACGTCGTCTACGAGGGGAAAAAGAGGAGCCATCCCATGACAGGTGAAATAATTGCTTCATCTTTTTGTGAAGAAATTTTTCTAGTTTTATGGCAAAACATGTTACAGTAAAAGCTTGATTATATCATTATCGCTTTATTTTCCTGTAAAAAGATGCTGTCTTGAAAAAAAGAAATCGCAAGCAACACTTATAAAAAATGAATAACAAACTGTTGTAGTAGTCTATATATATATATATATATATATATATAAAAATTAAAATTGAAAAATGGGAACAAGACAAGAGTAGAACGTAATTGTAGCATCTATTTTTATTATTTAATGCCAAAATTTTTGGTGTTTTGTTGCACAATATTTCTTAGAAAAATAGAGCACCGAAATAAAAACAAAGTAAAATTTTGGAACAGTAAATAAATTATTTAGAGAAATTTTTTCCAAATTTCCGGTTGCTTGGGCTTTCCAGTAACTCAAATTCTGTTTCAGGGCTTTTATTGTTCGTTGTATTTTGAGCTGAAGTTAATTGCTATGATTAATTTATTTGCATTCTAAAGTGCTTAAATTATGTTGTATATTTCAAGAAAACAGCTTAGGAAATGTTCTTTTAAATACAAATATTACACGTAGGATTTTTATGAAATTAAGAAAAAAAACTAAAAGCTGTAAATGATTATCCATTATTTTGGACACATATCTTGATATTAAAAATTTAGTAAGTTTTTTTTATCCTTCCCAATGTTACCAAAAATAAATAGGAAAGTTGGTTTGAAAAAAGTCATTTTTGCTCCGATTTTTAATTGTTTACAAATAGCTTAGTAAAATTGGGGGAAAAACATTAAATGTAATGATTGATATCAATTACACTGAAAGGGAATAAATGATTGAGCTTTACAATTAATTAAAGGTAATTTTTTGTTGACTTTCTGTTTTTACAGAAAGAGTTTATTTTTCATTAAATTTTAAGATTTTTTTATTTTTAAATTTAATGCAAAAAGGAAAGAAAGCAAATGGGGACATTTTAAACAATAATGTATAAATTTAATGTTGGAAAAGAACTGTTTGTGTATAATTTTTTTGAAAGGCTTAAAAATTATGTAAGTTTGATAAAGAAATTTTAGAGCACGTGCTTTTACTTGTAAAAGTGTTATTTATGATTTTTAATGAATAACTCACTAATATAAGCATAATGATAAATTCACAGTTGATTTGAGATTACACAGTGAATTTCTCATTATGTTTGTAGTAAGTAATATTTATTAAAAATGATAAGAACAAATACCTACTAAGCCTACATAAAATTTTAAATATTTTACATTTTTGTTTCAAATTTTAACTGTTATGTTGCAGATTAGAACTGTTATATGAAATTATAATTTTTTTTATCCATGTTCCTTGTAGGTTGGCTGCAACTGCTTCTACAATATCAGTGAAACTTGATTGGATTGAAAATGTTCTAAAAACTGTGATAGATGAATTTGAGCAACTTAGTGACATGGAGTCCGTAATTAATGGTGCATACAAAATTCTTATTTATTTTAATGAGCTCAATAATTCAAATTTGTCATTAGTTTCATACGGACAAATTTGAGTTTTGCAAACAAGCCTGAAATATTATTTTATTGTAAAAGCTACAATATTTTTACTCTGACTATCAATTTATGTTACAGCATAGAAAATGGGATTATCAATTAGTTTTATAAAAATAGTTTATTTTAATACTTTTTTTTGAAAATTTTATAAAAGTGCTTTTGATAGATAATTTAATTTATTTAGCATAGTATCTTAGTTTGTTGGATTCTATTAAACATTTAGCTTATACATTCAACCCTTTGTTTTAGTGACTATTTTTAAATTCTATTGAAATAATTTAAAGTTTATGCTAAAATATTGAATTTTCAATGAATCAAGAAAATATTCATATTTTTAGATATGCCAATTTTTTTTCCTTCTTGATGCTAAAATTTGTTACTCTGAACTAATTATTTTCTCATTGTTTTGTTTACTTTTTTTATTTTATTAAATAATTTTTTTTTTTCCTTTTTAGGCAATTTTTTAAAATTTCTATATGCATCTATTGTCATTAGAATTTTAATCCTTAATGATAAAATGTGTTAGTTGCGCTAATTATTTTGTTTACTTACTCTTTTTATTTTATTTAATAATTTTTTTTTTGTTGCTTTTTATGCAAATTTTTTAATTTCTACATGCATTGATTATCATTAAAATTTTATAATTTAATTTATGTTTTACTTTTTAGAAACAGCCAGAGATTCAGATGCAAAATCAATTTTACTAAAGTTATTTGATAGCCTTGTCTCTCTTCAGGAAAATGCTTCTGAAATATTTCATATGAACTCAAAATTGAAATCCTCAGAACTTTTTGACAATAACCTTCATCATAGTAACAGTAAACAAGGTATTTATATTTCTAGCACTAGTTATTTGCAAATCAATGCCAACATAATATTGGTATAATTTATTTATCTGTAACTGTATAGTTTTTCAAATTTGTCAAAAAATCTTTTTTTTTTAATTTATGAATGCTTGAAATCAGAAAAAAAATCTTCAAAATTATTTTTATTATTGATAATTATTAAAAATTATAAATGTATTTTTAAACCTTGGGTAATATATTACAGTTGATGGTAGCACTTTACTGAAAGTTTCAAAGGATAGAGGCTTATGTTTTAAAATGCTTGGCATTTTTTTTGTTGCAAAATGGCATACAGGTCTTTGAAGAGTTAATAGATGATTTATTTTTTTCAATTTTTTTTCTTTGTTTTTTTTAATAATTTTTAGAAAATGATGCTCCACCAGAAGTGAAATTTACCACTGCCATGCTAAGTGACAGCCCCCTTAAGTGAATATGCAGTGGCTGCAAAACTTTCAAATTTTCATTTGTACATTTTGGTAATTCAAAATATAATTTTTTAACTATTACGTCTATTTTATTTTGTATTAAACATCTGATTTTTGCAATAAAAAAATTTGCAATTCATGTACCCAAAACATCTAAATAACTTGGCAGTTAAAAGCTTACGAGTTAATCTGAATGCCTCTGTGGGTTGTGAACATATGGAAGAATTATAAGCGTACCGAATAACGTATATTATGTATGTTATTCTTGTTAGACAAATAAATGTTAAAAGGGTTTTTCTATTTTGATTAATTAACATAAAGACAAAAGGTATAAGGTTCGATCTTCGTCAAGGTCACTCGTCGAAGATGACGATCTCATGGTCTGCAGGGATTGGCCAATCTCTTTTCATTTGCTGTTGGTCGTTCTTGCGTGGATCATGACGTCATCTGTTATCTGTTAAAAGATTATTTAAGCTTCTGTTGAAGCAGATTAATTTGTATTTATTCTTTTCGTTAGTCACTCTGTTTGTGACAGTTTGTCTACCAATGTTTTTAAATAAATTTATTGCTTTCGAAACTTCGTTTTCTTATTTGTTTTATTGACAAACAGATATAATGATATTCTGCGACAATCTTGGATGTCAATTCTTGTATGTCTAAGAATAGCATGATGAGTGAAAAAGCAATAACTCAGATTCTTTCTGTAAATTGACCACAGACGTAATGCACCACATGTGGTCAACTTAAACTGGTTTAACTGTATTTTCATTTTTTTTTTCTTCATTTCAGATAGTGATCATGAATCCTTATTAAGTGATGAAACGATAGCATTGAGCAGAAGTGCAAGCTTAAGTCCTGTTAGTTTTGACGGCCAATTTGCAACAAATTCAGTCCACCAGAAGCATAAAGGAAGAGCTCTTATCCACAGCTATATAAAGCAAAGTGAAGAAATCAAGAGAATTCCCCTGAGACCATCTCACAAAGTGATTTCCAGTTCACAAGATTCAGTGTTCCAACGCTCTCACTATTCGTCACCAGATCTGGGCATTGAATCTGATCCCAATCATGAGCACTCAGCTCCTGAAGAAGTTGACAAATTTCATTCCACAAAAGTCAGCACTTCGAAGCACGATTTGTCTGGCTCAGCTATGTACAAAAACTTGGACAAACAGAGACTATCCTCCATTAATAGTTTCAGTGATAGTAGTTTTAAATTCAAAGGTATATTTTATTTTTTAAATTTTGTAAATGGTTATAGTTTTTAACCTTATTATATTAAGAACAAGTTGGTATTATGTTGAGTAGGACTTATTTTATCAAAATTGCTTTGTCAATATGTATTCCATGCATCTACGATTCCGCTAATACGCTAAAGTAGGTAAAATATACCATGAACAGAGATGCCAACTTTCTCCGGATTGCAAATATATATTTTAACGTGGTAGTTTATCAATTGTGATTCTAGGTTTAATAAATTCAATTCACTAGATTTTTATCCACCACTATTTCTAAATAATTCACAGGCTTTTAAAATTCACCACTTTAAGAGTATTTGTGTCATGCTACACCATTAAAAAGCAAGCAAAAATAGTCAAATATTTGCCAAATTTAATTTGTAGTTATTTACTGTTTTTTTAATTAAGTTGGCGTGTCCGGAGCAGTTGGCATTTCTGCATAAATTGTAGTGAGGACGCGTGCAAAAAAATTGTGTTATAGATTATTGTCAAATTAAACCTAACATTGAAAGAAAAGAAAATTATTTTTTCTATTTAGTTGGCAAACAACTTAAACATTTCACAAGCTATGAAATTTTTTAAAAAACTCCATTTTAGCGAGATTTCTCAATCTAAATGAAAACTGCTTTCACTGAACTCTAAGGTCGAAAATATTTTATAAGACCAGGTAATGCAGAGTTAGAGTAACTTGTGAAACATTACAAAAGTAGATCACCAAGACTTGTCATTCTAAAACTGTGGCTTTTATTCATTGTGCCATCTTCAGAATAAACATAGAGTTAAAAATAGGCTAAATTTGAGGTAACAGTCATAAAAATTTTTTGCAAACTCATAGCAGTTATTATAATTTATTCATGGAAAAGGGTTATTTCAATGGCAAAGCCTTTAAAACACAGCTTTAATGTTTTATAGTTGTTGCAATGTATGTTTTAATATTTCATAGCATTTTACGAATAACTTTTTAAATAATTTTGGAAATATTGTAATTATTTTCTATATTTTATAATATTTTTGATTTTTTTTTTTTACCCATAGATAAAAGTTTACTTGTTTTAAATGGCACATTGCATGCCATTGGCATATTGCAAGATTATGAGCTTCTTAAAAATGAGATATCAGAGAGTATTGTAGGAATTAAGAGTATACTTTCAAGGACAGGGGATGGTATGCAGCATATTACCACCAATGCATCACCTCGAAAGGTATTATTCATATTTGAAATTTTTTTTTTTTTCAAATGAATACTTCATAAATAATTCTTTAAATTAATAATTTCAAACTATATTTTAAATCTTCTTTTCTATGTTTGTGTAAAAAATAAGTTTGTAATTGCTTTATTTTTTTGTTAAATCAATGTCTTTTGTTAATATTCAGTGACGTTCAAAGATCTGAAAAATGCTGTGTATGTGTTTGTTTTTTTTTAAATAAATTTTCTATTTACTTTATGCAAAATAGTATTTTACAAAATTATATTAAATTTCTGTTTAAATCAAAATTCTAAATTTTCGATGCAGGGAAACCTCTTGAGTGACAACTCTCTTTTCCACAGTGAAATAATTGTTGATGAAGGTTGGTTAGTCTTAAGGGTTACCTCCATTGTCTTCAAAATGTCATCGAAGGCACATGAATTTTCTATTTTAATTTTTGTCATTTTCTTGGAGCGGAAATGGTATTTGTATATTGTTCCAAGAAATCTCCCGATGTTTGTTCTGATTTTTCGAAAATGTCCTGATTTTTTTTCCTTTAGGCCACTACAAAACCTGATTTAACTAAGTGATGTCTAAAATCTATTCAACCTTCAATAGATTTCTTTAGTAAATAGTTCATTTTTGTTAGTTTTGATATTGTATGGAGATCTACAGTTATTTATTTATTTTTTTTTTTTATACAGAAATTGGAATATAGTACATTCAAAGCAATCAAAGACACTTGTTTGAATCTTGATGTTTGTCTCGAAAAAGCGAATAAATTGGTGAACAATTTCTGGGTTGCTACTTGTCCAACTGAAGATGAATGGAGACAATTAATTCATCAGGTAATTTAGATTTTTCTTTAATTTTTTTTCTTCAGCACTGAGGCAACTGACCCTGATAGTCTCCTCAGTTGTCCTTCAATGGATTATTTCAATGTAGTTTAAAAAATTTCTAGCTATCTGCTTTAGGATTTGCCTGTTATTTTTTGAAATTTTGCTTTCTTTACAGAATTTAATCACTATATCTGTAAATATGTCCTGACATAAATTAATTCATGTGTACTTAGATTACTTAAATAATATTTGTGTACTGAAGTTTTTGTATAATTCAATGTTCAACTGAATTCACCAAATCTGTGAATCTCTTCATAACGTGTAAAAATCTTATAAAATGATAGTATATAATTTTTATTTTAGTTATCAGAGGTCTGTCTAGGTTTTTCTGAGATGTACCTATTTTGTGAAACTTTAGAAATAATTTGTGAAAGTTAAAAATTATATTAAAAACTGAGCACAAAAATATGGATTTATTGTTTCTTAAAGGATACAAAAATAAAATTTTAAGAAAAAGTATTTTTTCCTAAAGTTGAATGATTTATTTTTTTCAATTTTTTTTCTTTGTTTTTTTTAATAATTTTTAGAAAATGATGCTCCACCAGAAGTGAAATTTACCACTGCCATGCTAAGTGACAGCCCCCTTAAGTGAATATGCAGTGGCTGCAAAACTTTCAAATTTTCATTTGTACATTTTGGTAATTCAAAATATAATTTTTTAACTATTACGTCTATTTTATTTTGTATTAAACATCTGATTTTTGCAATAAAAAAATTTGCAATTCATGTACCCAAAACATCTAAATAACTTGGCAGTTAAAAGCTTACGAGTTAATCTGAATGCCTCTGTGGGTTGTGAACATATGGAAGAATTATAAGCGTACCGAATAACGTATATTATGTATGTTATTCTTGTTAGACAAATAAATGTTAAAAGGGTTTTTCTATTTTGATTAATTAACATAAAGACAAAAGGTATAAGGTTCGATCTTCGTCAAGGTCACTCGTCGAAGATGACGATCTCATGGTCTGCAGGGATTGGCCAATCTCTTTTCATTTGCTGTTGGTCGTTCTTGCGTGGATCATGACGTCATCTGTTATCTGTTAAAAGATTATTTAAGCTTCTGTTGAAGCAGATTAATTTGTATTTATTCTTTTCGTTAGTCACTCTGTTTGTGACAGTTTGTCTACCAATGTTTTTAAATAAATTTATTGCTTTCGAAACTTCGTTTTCTTATTTGTTTTATTGACAAACAGATATAATGATATTCTGCGACAATCTTGGATGTCAATTCTTGTATGTCTAAGAATAGCATGATGAGTGAAAAAGCAATAACTCAGATTCTTTCTGTAAATTGANGTAGTAGTCATAAACCCAAAAATTGGGTCGGCTGTTCAACGACAGTTATAAAAAATATTAGAAGGCTCTAGGCCGGGATAGCCTGGTTGGTAGGGCACTTGACCAATGTCCAACAGTTCGTGGGTTCGATCCCCGACCGGCCGAAGACTCCCTGTGTAGTAAATGGTGACTGATGCACGTTAAATCTGTCGAGTTGCAAAGTCCTCCATGTTCCCATAACAAATCAACACCTCTGGGGGTACTGATCCAGGAGTTTCCTTGTCTTTTGGATTGGGTTCAAAATTACAAGGCCACGGAGTTGAACATTAGTAGTCGTAAACCCGAAATTGGATCGGCTGTTCAACGACTGATATAAAATTAGAAGGCTCTGAGCTGTGGTGGCTTAGGGGAAAAGCACTCGATTTTTGGCCTATTAGAAATCTGCCACGCAGGCACCGACAACAGTACTGACATACAATATCCTTGGTACTAGACAGATCATAGGTTAAAATCCCCTTGCTATCAGGTTAATCTTAAGAGACTTTCCTCTCAATGTAACGCAAATGCAGGTTCATTCCATCAAAAAGTCTCCCTTGAAGGCTAATTTGTCCCGATGCTTGATCCAAGAATATGCTTGTCATCTGGATTGGGCTCCAGAGCTCTAGCATTGATAGTCATGAACCCAAAAACGTATTGACTGTTTAAATCTGGTTATAAAATCAAAGCAGGTTGGGATGGCCACTTTCTCCAATCTAATGTCTGATAGGTGAAATTTTTGAGTTACCTGTTCAAATCTGTTTATAAAATCGAATCGGGTAGTACTGGAATCTTTCTCCCATCTAATATTGGATGGACGCAGAAAAGTACGCAATGGCTTTATTTTTTTCCTTCTTGTATGCAGGAATATTTGTAGGTAGAAAGTAGTGTTAAGTTCTTCAAATGCACTGCCACATGGGTAAATTGAAAAATTGACTTTCTTCACGTAGAACTGCTGTTGGGTTAAGTAAGATGTCTTATGTGATGTTTGCCTTTATAAGTTTTGTTATGCATTGCAGTGTCTATTTGAATGCCTTGTTTTTTATAACAAATATATTAAATATGTATATTTTTCATTAGAATGAGGAACTGAATTCCATGCTGAAGAAAATGAGTGAATCAAAGAAAAAGCAAGAAAAAGATTTTAAGGATGCCTTTGACAGATTAAAGGTACGTTTAGATAATGTTTCGTTCCATGCTTATAAAATTATTTAATGGAGTTTTTTGTGCTATATTATCTAAATTCTCTTACAGCAAGCTGAAACTATTAAAGAACAGCAGGAACAAAGAATTTCAAAAAAACGTAAGTTATTTTTAACATTCTAATATATCTAAGATTTTTTTTCTCAATTGCTAAATGGTATATGTTTTTTTCTGGGTTAAAAATTACAGCACAAAACATACATAATAATAATTTGTATGCAAATTTTCATTTAAAAATGATAGTTTCTACCTTTGAAAAAATCCACAGGAGAGTGGGAAAAAGGATTTATTGTAATGATCTTATATATATTATGTCTATATATATTTTGTCCTAATATTTTTGAATATGGCCAAGATCTTCAAATAAATAAAGGAGAAATATGTTTTATTTCTTCGCTCCTAATTATTTGAACAAAATCGCAAACAATATTAATTAACTTTAATTATAGAAACTAATAAATTTTCAAATCATTAATACAACTATTTCTTCATGTATAATATTTGGACATAGTAGTATGCTACAATGTGTTTTAATATAAATTAAAGTATTTAGATGATTTCATGGCAAAGTTAATTTGCTGATCTTTCAAGTATTAATTTCAAGTAATTTGCAATCTTAATTTATACTACTTATTTTATTTCATTTTAAATTGTGGTATTTTTCTCTAACAATTACTATGATTTTACTTACTGTTACTACTCTATCAATTTATACATTATGATTTTTACAGAACAGGAAATTTCATCAATAGGGAAATGTCATAGATTTTGAAATTAAATTGCTAAAAACATCATAAAAAGGAATTAGTTTAAGTTTAAGGTGCCTACAAATCTAATATCGTTTCCAAAAAAAAAAAAAAAAAAAAAGGATTAATTCTGGAACTTGTTAGCTGATGTTCAATTTTGGTTCAATTTTTATCAAAAAATAAATTTCAAGCCTTATGTCTTTCAGGCTTTAGGCCTTAGTCTCAGGCTTTTTTTTTCTAATAAGTGAAAGAATATTAGGACCTGTGCACAGTTTGCGCATAACCCTCAAAACTTCCCCAGATCAGCAATTTTGTAGATTAAGTCTATTGAATTGATAAATAATTCCCCTTTGGAACCTCTTTCTAATGTTATAAAATATTTGGTAATTAAAAAAAAAGTACTGTTTTTAAAAAAGCATGCATGGGTGTTTTCTTTCTTGGGGGATAATATCTTAATCCATGTTAAAATAGCTAATTTGCATAATATTTAAATTTTTTCTTTTTTGAGCACCAAGTTTTTGTTGATGGTTTTTCTGTAATTGAATGAATATTCCTTAATATTCCTGAAACTTAGTTTTTTGCTTTATGGTGCTTTTTTATTAATGTGATCTGATTGATTTTAAATGGTGAAAATGAGCAACGTGAAAAGTAATATTTACAATGTGTCGACCAAGTTAAAGCTAATAGTGTTAACCATTCTTCATAGCAATGAAAGTGAAAGAATATTCTGCCATATAACAAAAATCCAGACCTAAATCTGATCTTTGTCTAAACAAATTTTCAAGAATTTTTTGTCTGGTGAAGCAAACCTAAAACAGCTTCAGAAAAATTTTTACTCAACATTATTTAAAAAATTCTCAATTAGTCACTAGTTTATTATTTTATAATTTCCAGGAATAAATAAGTTATTTATATAAATCTAATTTATAGAATATTAATTTTTCAAGGAATAGTAAGTATTGAGAGGGATACTATTGATACTACAAAAAACAATTAAAGATAATGCAATTTTTCCAATAGTTTTGTGTCGATTTTTGTCAAATTTGATTAGATTTTATGTTTTCCTGCTTCTTCCGTTTTTTAACTCCAGTCTGATGTAAAACTGTGATTCCACTGAATTATTTTTATCTTCTGTGTTATTTTGGTTCCACTGGGTTATTTTCTGCTTATTTTAATTTCATTCTCTATTTTTTTTTTAAATTTTCCATTTTGAATTGCTTATTAAAAAACACTAGACCTTGTGTTAATTTTTAGTCCTTTTTAATCTAATCCTGAAATTTCCCAATCCTTCAATGGTAATTGTAAGTCTCTTATTTATTTTCATTCCTACATAAAATGATGTATGTGTTAATAGACAGTAAAGCCCTATGTGAAAGGGGACACAACCCCATGCTAGTAAATACTGGAAGTCAAACTCCACGCTTTTTAAGTCATAAAATCAGGCTTTTCCTGCTTATGGAAAAAGTCATGGTTACAGACAATGTGTTTAGTGAAACACTGGAAAATGTTCCCTGAAATATCGTTGTTATGCATGTAAAATAAGCTTTTGCTACTTTAATAAATGCTTATCTTACATTTGCTTATAGTTGTGAAGACTAAGAAGATATTGAGGCAAGCTGAAAGGAAAATTTTGGAGACTAGAAACAAAGAACTTCCCTTGTTAGCCAAGCATTCTTTCAAAGCTCCTCTCAACCCCTTATGAGCCAAAAGAAAACAAATTTCTTTGCTTGAGCTTTTTTATAAATCATAATTCAATTATTTTGACTAAAATTTTATTACTTACCTCTACAATTGCATTTAATGTATCTTATGAGTGACATAATGTTTGAAAAAACAAGTGTGCTTTATTTTTCTATTATTGATAACATTTTTTAAACATTTCATTAAATTGTCTTTAATAAAATGTGCCAAATAACAAAATGATATTTGCTAAATTTCTAAATTGTTTAGTTTTGAAACATTTTTTAAAAAGAACTTTTTATTGCATTTTTTCTCTAGTGAAGTATGATATTAAATGAGATTTTGTGAAGCACAACTGTATGTTTTGTACAATTTTCACTGTACATGGAAGTACATCTTTTGTACATTGGGTTTTAGTTGGCGTACCTTGTAAATACCATCATGTTCATAGTATGGAGCTGTATAAAATGAATGATTGATTGTATAAATGGTGCTTGATGAAGAATAAAGTAATTTTATGCTTTTTGTACAAAAATTGATTTGCTCTCTTTTTATTTTGTTGAACAAAGTTGACTCTTTTTAAAAAAAAATTTCTTCCATTAAAATTTGTATTTTTTAAAATTATCTGTATATATATATAATACATAGTAGCATTTCTAATCTCTATAGAGATTAGAAATGCAACTACAAAAGGGTTTTCATAGCTTTTACAGAATTATAGATCCAACTGCAGAATTATAATGGACCAATTAACCCATTTTTTAGCTCTTTCAACCTTATTTTATTGTTTGAAAAATAATTTTAATATGTTTTATTTTAAATTTTAATATACCAAGAACTATGAGAAAACTTGCATTGGTTGGTTTTCTCTGAATTGGGCTACTTCTTTCCCGAATTGCGGATTCAACGCATGAAGCAGTGTGTGACAGGGTGAGCTGAAGAGTAGGCAGGGGTCTGTCCAGACATTTTGTGAAAGGTCCGTTTTTCGTGAAATTGTGAAAAAATTACTCGCATTGTTTCAACTAGGGTCCGCTTTTATGAATTTGTGCAAATAGGGTCCGTTATTGCAAAAANGGGCTTTACCAATAAACTATCAATTGGGAAAAACAGATATCAATTGTTTCTTAAGCTTTAAAAAAGCTTCAATCAGAAAACATTTCAATTTCAGAAGCTGTTGAAATATGAATTAACTTACTATCGTGTGATGAATTAGAACCCCATAAACATTTTGTAAAAAGATTCAATCAGGCTGTTCAGCCACATCATCTATAAGCATATGTATCCTGGATCCCGAAACAAGGGGACAATTTTTAAATGATGAACAAGACCAATTAGCAGAAAACTGTTCTTCTAAGCATCATCCAGAATTTCTGCCACGTGTTATGGCATTCAAAATTTCCGATCCTGAATACTTTCCAAAATCAATTATGCTTGACACTGTTATTCAGCAGTTTTCATCAAAAAATAGTGGAAAATTACGGCAAAAAAATAAATAAATAAAATTCCTAGCTTCCACAAAATTTCTGTCAATTCTTTTTTCTTTGAACTCAGCACCAGCATCCTCTGTCTGTATCGAAAGACACTTTTCAACTTTCAGTTTGGTGCTGAGTAAACTTCTAAATAGATTAGGTAGGAATAGAGAAAGCTACAAAGCTCGTAAAAGTGTATCACCATCTAAGAGAGAAATGTAGACACTTTGAATCTGTTGTATGATAATAATAATAAAGGAAAAAATGGACCTTTTTTTTAAAGTTAATTCTTAACATCTGCTGACAATTTTTAACTATTTGGAGAAAGTTTATCACAATTAAAAAACAGTTAAATATTAAAATATTACTTTTAAGATTTTTTAAATATTTTTAAGATTTAATTTGAATACAATTTATTTTGTTTCTTTATATTTTGTTTAAAAATATTGAAAGCAAACAAAAAAAATTTCTATTAAATGATACATTTAACAACACTAAACAAATTTAAAGTTTTATTTTCTGATTTTAAAAAAATAAGCTGCAACTTTTTATATATGCTTTTTTATAATTTTAAGATTAATTTGTTTTTTGAAACTATAAAGTTAAAATGTATCTAAAATTGCATATATTTATCTAAATATTTGAAAAAAGGGACATGTAAATGATACTCTTTATAGTTATACGTAATTTTAATTTCACTTTCTATTAATCGTATTATAAAAACATGGAAGACCATTAAATATTTATTATTATTTAATTTTATTACAGGTAAAAGTCAGATGAAATTTTAGTGTTTACTTATACAACACTATTTAATAAATAAAAATATTTTCACAGTAAAATTTATGAGCACTAAATGAAAAAACCCAATTTTCCCCGGGTTTTTTCAATAAAACCCAGGCGGGTTGGGTTTTTTCAAACGCTGCCGTTAACGGACCCAAATTTCTTCTAAACAGACCCCTGGTACCTTGTAACTTTTAGCATATCAGGGTAAGCTGAAACTCTAAACTGAGTGAGCAGAGTTATCCTTGATTTTTGGTGATAATGTTGGAAGAAAATAAGCCTACATGTGTGATTGCTGTTGTTGTCTCCAGGGCTGCCATTGGAGACTAAAAAAGCGACTAAAACGACTATTTTAAAGCAATAGCAACTATGGCGACTATTTTAGTAGAAATATGAGTAAAAACAACTAATTTGCAATGATTTGCGTAAAATCGCCGACTTTTTTAAGCCAAAGCGACTAAAATTAAGAATAGCTTCATGAGTTCCCTCTTCCTCCACTTTTTTTTGCCGCGTTTTCGTTTTATCCTAACTTTATTATTTCTCACTGTTTGATGTCAAAAGCAAGACAGACATATTTAACCAATCAGACTGATGGAATTAGAATTCGCACTACGTGAATGTTTCAGAAAGCTAATGGAATATCTCTGAGGATTAAGTTTTTTCTCCTTTTTTAATTTGAACGAAGTAGCAAAATTAGAAATATTATCTTTAACTACACAAAATGTGTTGTTAATTTTTTTAGAGCTATTTAGAATAGAAAAAAAGGTANTTAAAATATTTTGTGAAGGGTCCGTTTTTATGAAAAGATATTTTGTGAAGGCTCCGTTAACGGACCCCTGGTAGGGTACCCTATCACTTTTAGCATATCAGGGTAAAATGAAACTCTAAACTGAGTGAGCAGAGTTACCCTTGATTTTTGGTGATAATGTTGGAAGAAAATAATGCCTACATGTGTGATTGTTGTTGTTTCTAATGCTACTTGCAACAATAGCAAGCCTGCTTGCTGAAACCGAGCAAATTTAAGACAGATGGTGCGTTTCTTGTTTTTCAGTGGCGCCATCTATGGCGAAGAATTCGACTTCAGCTACACACCCGTTTGTAGGGTAGACCCATTCATCCACAGATCGTAATTTTTGACCTTGATCAGAGAACGATCGATCTTCAATCCAGTACCCCCAGAGGTGTTGATTTGTTGTGGAAACATGGAGGACTTTGAGACTAGACAGATTTAACGTGCATCAGTCATCATTTACTACACGGGGAGTCTTTAGCTGGTGGGGTTCGAACTCTTGGACATGGGCCCAGCGCCCTACCGACTAGGCTATCCCGGCCTACACATGTGTGATTAAATGTAGTAAATGGTACTAAGAACCAGATATGCAAAATATACACAAAAATACAAAACAAAGCATTTTAAAATGGTATTAGACATTATTAGAAATGGCATTGAAATTTGAATGAACAGCGGTGATAATTATAAAATATATATTAAATGTTTGCATTGAAATATTTCTGAACGACTTAGATTTCAGATAGATAAAGAAAGCCAAGTGCGAGATGAAGCAAGGTAAGTCAACTAATTTTATATCTTCAAAAAGCTGTTAAATTTAAAGAAATAAAGGATGTCCCAAAATCTATATGCTGGTATGTACTATAATCAATATAGAGTTTTAAAAAATTTAGTGATTTTCAAACAAATTGCATCAAAATTACGCATCAATAAATTGGTTGCAAAAAGTTCTTTAATTGAGGTTTTGTGTTCACGGAAAATTTTTCATTTTATCTAAGTTTGCTAAGAACAATTCAATACTTTTAAAATTAAGATTGTGAGTAATTCTTTGTGATAATGTCAAAATGTATTAAAAACAATGTTTGAAATCTCAAATGGTATTTTGCTATTAAATGGTATTTACCGCAAATAGTTAAGTTTTTGTAGGTGATTTTAATACAATAGTTGCTCAACTGTAGTTTTTATAGCTAATTTCATTGTAATGCACTGAAAACTAAGAGTATTGAAATAAAAGTAATAAGTGATATAGTTTTTATACATTTTATCAATTTCTAAAAATGGACAATTACAGCATATCATAATTTTTTTTTATTTTCATACCTAACTTATTGGAAATTCTCTTCTGAAACCGAAAATCTGATTGTTTTTTTCGGCAAATGTTAATTTATTCACTTATTAAACATTTAAATTGCCCGAAAAGGCCTCCGTATGTGATGCAATCAAAAAGGAGCCCTGATTGGTTATGACATCACATGTGCTGAAGGGAAACGTGCCGTCTCCACCTACAAAGCCATTTCAATGCTCTTTTTAGTTTTGATATATCGTATGAACATCCTTTGTAAATTATTAGTAAAAATTTTGTGAATTAAATTTATGATTTTGAGAGTTCAGACGTTGTTATTTATCACTAAAATATCTGAAGAAATGATTATGTAGCGCTCTTTTCGGCTGAAATCAGCGGTGTTTAAGTTCATAGAAAATAATATTTTATTCCGCTTACTTTTAAATTAAAATAATCCATTGAAAAACATCTGTCCATCATCGTTACAATCTATGTGTTAATGTTCAAGAATTCAAATAATGTAATTTAATGTTGCTTCTTTTATTTATTTATTTATTACTAGAGTTGAAGNTTTTCGGCAAATGTTAATTTATTCACTTATTAAACATTTAAATTGCCCGAAAAGGCCTCCGTATGTGATGCAATCAAAAAGGAGCCCTGATTGGTTATGACATCACATGTGCTAAGGGGAAACGTGCCGTCTCCATCCGCAAAGCCTTTTCAATGCTCTTTTAGTTTTGATATATCGTATGAACATCCTTTGTAAATTATTAGTAAAAATTTTGTGAATTAAATTGACGATTTTGAGAGTGTGTGCAAAATGAAAGAACGATTTTAAAACTTCAGACGTTGTTATTTATCACTAAAATATCTGAAGAAATGATTATACAGCGAATCAACATCTCTTTTCGGCTGAAATCAGTGGTGTTTAAATTCATAGAAAATAATATTTTATTCCGCTTACTTTTAAATTAAAATAATCCATTGAAAAATATCAGTCCATCATCGTTGCAATCTATGTGTTAATGTTCAAGAATTTAAATAATGTAATTTAATGTTGCTTCTTTTATTTATTTATTTATTACTAGAGTTGAAGGATTTTCTTTTTAAGTAAATATTTACTGATGCAGTTTACGTCATATTTTTTTTTACTATGTATTAAATATTTAAATACACATTAACGCTTATATTTGTTATTCCTTGCTTAAATAGGAATTCCGTTACAGTTAGAAATTATTTTTAAATTTATAAATTTTAATTCCTTTTTCTGCAATATACTATTAACGAAGTATGGTTATTGTTCATTTTTCTCCTTATTTTTCCAAACTATTTGTCACTGCTTGCAATGAAGAATTCGAAAATAGTAAAATTAATACATTTTTAATTTTAAAAAATTTAATTAAAATAGTTGAAAAAAATCCCAGGTTAAGCATTTGATATAGCCTAAAACGCATCAACACTTTCAAGAATCTAGTCCATTGAAATATATCTGACCATCATCATCACCATAAGCTAGTTATACTTAAAATTTCATTTAATTTCTCATTTATCCACATCTAATTAACTCATTTATCCACAAAATTTCGACGAGTATCATTAAGCTAAAAGTTTTTGTTTCACTAAAGATAAAGAACAATTTTAAAAAATTGACTTTATAGGAAATGGAAAGAAATTCTATAATGCACATTCTTTATTATTTAAATAATTAAAAAATAAACAGTAATGTTATTTTTTCTCAATATTTTTATTCTTGAAATAGGAACTTTGCTATGGCGAAAAATAATTTTTATATGCTTTTATAAAATTTAATTCCTGTTTCTGTAATAAAGAACTAAGTAAAAATGCATGTGCTTGATTTCAAATACTCTTATAACATAGATTAAGGCAATTAAAATAAAGTTAATAAAATCTATAATATAAATTCTTTTCTTTTTAATTAAAATTTTTTTTGGTGAAAGAATGAATTTAAAGTTTTGGTGAGATCACAAGTTTTTTTAAAAGGCTACTGCTATGCTGGAGACAATTACATGCTTTGAATTCACGCTAGAATAAATAAATAAAAATGATCAAAAACTTAAGCTTTCCTACATTTTAAAATTTAAAACTATTTATTCTACATAAAAAGTTGATCGAACATTTCTTTCACTTAAGATGAAAATAAATCTGCGAAATGAATTTGAAGTATACATTAAGATGGATGTGGTTAAAAGAAATGAAAGAAAAAAGAGTTATTTTGTATTTATAACGCATCATTTAATAATCAATAGCACAGACTTTTTTTATTGAACTAAAAAATCTTAAATATTCAGAGGTAGAAAATTTCGTCAACTATTAACAATGTTTCAGTGGGATTCTGAATGCATTAAAATTTAAAAAAAAAATTGATTGCAATTGTCCATTACAGTTATGCACCCCGAATTTTCAAATATGTTTGGTAACATATCTTTACGTTTTTAAAAATCTTTATCTTCGGGTAATTATTAAAGATCTAATTATGAAAGATAAAAAGAATTTTTTTTCCAATTGAAGTATAAATTTAAATCATATTTATATTAAATGTTTAGAATATACAGTATCAAGCTGTGTCTCCGAAAATAACTTGTGGATATACTTTTTTTTTTTAAATTTATAGAGAAATTTTAAAAACAAACATATGACCCCTAATTCATCACCATGAAAATTTGATTACGTAAAATTGTTAATCAAGTTTCCTTTTCATAGAATGATTGAACTCCCGAAAAAAAATTTTTCTGTGTGTAATGCTATATGGTAGAACTATGTATATAACCTGTAAACTGTCCATAAATAGGAACTGTTGAAATTTATAATTTCTATAGTTGTTGTCGTCGTAGGTCATTATGGCAAGTGGCGCCATCTATGGCGAAGAATTCGACTTCTGCCACACTCATGTGTCACACCCGTTTATAGGGCGGACCCATTCATTCTTCCACCGATCGTAATTTTGAAATGAACCAGAGAGCGATCAATCTCCAATTCAGTACCCCAAGAGGTATAATTTGTTATAGAAAAATGGAAGACTTTGTGACCCGACATATTTAACGTGCACCAGTCACCATTTACTACACGGGGATTCTTCGGACGGCTGGACTCGAACTCTCGTTCTCATGAACGTGAGTCCAGCCGTTTATGCCTCGGTTGAGGAAACTCGTAGTGTTTCCATTTCAAGAAAGTGTTGCAACAGCTGAGAAAATGCTAAGTGTTAGCTATGAAAACGGCAAAACGGAGCAGCAACCAGTGCTAATATCTGTTAAATGGTTCGAAGCTTTTTATACAAGGAAAAACACTGTATTCACATGAACATGCAGAAAATGAACAACAATCTCTGCTCGCAAGGCACTTGGTAACCACTGTTCTAGATCTATTCATTTCAAGACCACAGCTTATCGCGAAAAAAAAAAATTTTTTTTCTCGTTGTTCTTGGATTTTTTCTAACTGCTGTGATAACCTTATTTTCTGAAATTAATTGTTATATTAAATATGATTCCAGATATCCACAAAATTGCGAGTAAAAAAAATTTAGGATTGTAAACAAAAAGTATTTAAGACTTATTGAATTTATTCTTGACTGTGCTTCGTGTTCTCAACGGTAGAGGGCAGTATTTGCAGAAGTTGTTTCAGCTTCCGGTAGAAGAGTCTCTTCTATTTATTTATTTTGTATTACTGTTCGACTTATTTTGAATATATTTGTTTTCGACTGCGAAAAATTCATTTGCAAGTGGTGGCAGTTCTGCTTTTCTTTTAGGTGCACTATGCGTGAAAGCAGTAATTTTTATGTTAAATTAAGATGCTTAAAGATCCTTCACACCGAATTTAATGAAGTAATGCATAAAAAAGGAAAGACAGAAAAAAATAGTCACGTTCTGCTATAACTTCAGGGAAAGACAACGAAACTTCCAGTAGGATTTTTTTTTTTTTACTAGATTGGAAATATTACTGATAGCAAAATTTAATAACTGAAACAATTTTTTTAATCAGAGCTACAAGCAAGTTTTTGTGTAAGTAGTTGAAATTTTTACTAATTCAAGTTATGCTGTTACAAACATTTAACGACAAAAACTAATAACTTTCGTGAATTTAAGAAATGAATTCATTTTCTTCAGAACGTTCTACTAAACTACTTTCTTTAGTTAAGAATCTAATACTTTCGCCTCAGCTCAGAAAAGCATCTCGCTCTGCAGTATTAAACAAGGGAAAAGGACTGCAAGACGAAGATGTTGAGGCCATTTTAACAGATCCCGAAAAGCAACAAAAGTGGAAAAAATTGCAGAAACCAATAACTGTTCCAGCCTATGTTGATATTTCACCTATTACTGCAGTCCCGGATGAGCATATCAAATCAAGATTAGTTTACATTTTTAAGCCAGCTAGAAATCCTATGCAATCTGGTACTTTTGGCACTCAAAAATGGAAAATTGTGTTCGAAATTCGCATGGTGTGGGAAAATCCCCTTATAGGTTGGGCATCTACGGGAGATCCCCTAAGTGGTATGGATATTGAATTTGAGAGTAAAGAAGATGCAATTGCTTTCTGTGACAAAAATCAGTGGCGGTATTTTGTCGCGGAACCTAAAGTAAACGTAACCAAGTTTAAAATAAAAAGATACGGTGACAATTTCTCATGGAATAAAAGAACAAGAGTATCGACCAAATAGGTGCTTTTACTACAAATTAGCACTTGTCGTAAATCCCCTTATGGTAAAATTCAAGTATACGTTACACGTTTGGCGTGATTTTGAAAAATGTCGCCAAAATTTGCAAATCTAAAACTCAACCACAAAATCACACCTCGAATTCTAAAAGGCATAAGCAAAATGTTTAAAAAGCAATGACCCTCTGAATCTCTCCAAATCTTCAACTACAGACTGCAAACGTTATCGAATTTTCTCAAAATAAGAAACTTTAAACTTACTTTGAATTAAAAAGTTATAATCGTAGAACTACATTCAACATAAAATATTTTTAATTTTTAAAAATCGCCAAATTTGGCGATGAAAGCACCATTTTGTAAAACTACTAAGAAATGTTGAAATTTTCCGCCTAGGTAAACTTAACTTTCTGCAAGAATTACCATTAAACACAAGTTTGTATTCACTAAATTATCTTTTAGTTACTTCCTTTTCTATTTTCTTGGCTGTTTCGCAGGTTGGATTCATAGAATTGTGAGCAAAGTGGAAAGTAAATTTCAATAATACAACTTCTATCACTTTAATGATTTATTAAAATGAAGAAATACTTAGCCTTTTGTTTTACTATTTGTGAAGGGGGTAGTATGGTTTTTGTCTGGGACATTAAACTTATAAAAGGAAGGAAAAAGAATTTAAACCAGAACAAATATTGTCAAAGCAAACTAATAAGGGTAAATGAAAATAGTAAGTATGCTGTAAACAAATATCGTTAGGAGTTGTTAGGTAAATATAACCTCAGTGCAAAAACGAATTTATTTCTTGGCAATGATGATGATATTTATAATCAAAAATTTTCATCAAAACAGACTTCATGCTCTTTGATAAATATATTTTTTTATGGGGAGAATATTATTGGACGGCTTCTGAAATGAAGAACGAAACATTTATGTTACAAATGGAGTAACTCCATGATTAATATATATTAATATCATGTTTCATAAATCATAAAGTGCTTCTGAGTCGCAGGTTATTGAGGGCTCTCCTTCCTATAAATTGATCCAAGTTCGAATCACAGAGATGACTTTTAGGTGCAAATTCTGCTCTGGTTTGAACCGACCACAGTGCCGGCGTAAAATATCAGTGGTAGACAGATTTTATGGGTAAGAATTCCTGTGCTGCCGGTTTAACTCTGGGAGGTTTTTGCGGGTTTTCTCACCTTGTAACTCAAATGCGGGTTTGTTCCATTAAAAAGTCCTCCACGCAGACTAGTTTGGCCCAATGATTGATTCAAAAGTTCTCTTGTCTTCTGGGTTGGGTTTAAAATAAGAAGGCTACGGAGTTGAACTTTGAGAGTCATGTAAGCTGTCGTTTTTTTTTTCAACCCTAACTTTTGTAAGTCGTTATTCTTTGTACTAGGCAATTCTAAGGGATAAAAAAAGGTAAAGTTTGTCGCGTGATTATTATGGTACACTTAAATAATGCATATATCAGATAACTATTATGGAATGAAAAAAAGAGCCCCTTCCAAGTCCTACTGATTGCCTTGTCTTGTCTGAAATGTGTTCCTGGGTGGATTGAGCGAAGTGCGTTTGGAGAGTCACCCTATTCGTGATGGCTATTCCCGTTTATCCTGCTAAAATCAGTAGACGAAGGAGCCAAAACTGTCTTCTAACTATTGGTGCTCCGGTCCTTTGCTTAACAGAAGCTGCGAATTCCCTCCTCTATTTGACACTAGAGTGCGAAAATCTTCGCCATCTGCATAAAATGCCATGACCAGGAGACTTCTGTCAGACAAATTCTGGAATGTTTGGGTTTTATCAAGGAGGAAGTTTATTCAAGTCCTCTTTGTGAGTCAACTTTCTTCGAGTCAATGTTTTTTTAATCAGACTTTGAAGGAGTAAAAAGAACAACAACAGAAAAAGCTTTTCGAACAGTTTTTATGGAATTTTGGAAAAGAACAGCATAGCATCATTGCCTATGCAAATATAGATGCAAATATATCGGACAATTGTTATGAGACAGATATTACTTTGCTTTAATGTAACTTTAGTACCTCTAAAGCTAAGTTATTACCAACTCCAGCACTTATCATCATGTTCATCGCATTAATTAAGCAAAGATAGCTTTGCAATACAGTGTTTTTGAGACTAGACATAGCTTATTAAGATGACTATAAATTTAAAAGATAGCTTTGAGCAATAACAAAAATTAAAAAGTTTTTTTATTATTATTATCATATATACGAGGCAGTTAAACAGCAACGTAAGATGTGGTGTGAAATGCGTTTTTTATTTTATCTACTATTTTAATATTAAAAATTTATGTAAGGAGAATTTGAAATCTATTTTATATGTATTTTTATTTAATACATGTATTTCGTAATAATCTAATTCAGGATTGACGCCATTGCTTTTTCCACGAAGTAATTAAAATCTAGGAAATTTTGTCTGCAATTTGTATTTTTTCCAGGATTCATAAAAACATTGAAATTGTGGCATATCATTATGATCGAATAAGCTTTCAATTTATTCAAACTTCTGCGATAAATTAAATGTCACTGATTTTGACGCATATTTTTCAAACTAATTTTACGTTTCCCAAATATTGTTCATTAGTTTGAAACTTCGAAATCAGTTCATTTGATATTGAAGCTAAATAATCAATAATCAATTACAATTTTACTATCAATTCTAAAAATCTACATAAACTTGCATTAAAGAACCGACGTTATCCTCTTGAGCGGCGTGCGGGAAACGCAAAATCAATTTCTGCTACCAGCCCACCCCTCTAAAGAGGGTAAATAAACGGGGCGTAAAATAATGACCAGTAGTTATCGGTTCCTGTCTTCATCTAGTAGGTCCACTCAATATGGAAGCGTCCAGCGCATTAATTAAATCGGCGCCCAGAGCAATGAAATAATTAGATCCCGCAGAAACAGGCTTGTATGCTTCAGCGGCAACCGATCGTATCGTAATTAATTCCGCTCTATCACGCGATCCGGGCATCCCCCTGCCTGCTTCAGTTTGCCCCTACTGATATTTGGGTTTTAGTCTTCCGAAATGTGGGCCAGCCTTACGAAGAAATGGGAAGCTAAGGAATGAGAAGGGAAAATATTTATACTATGAAAGAACAAAAGATCGTTTTCTTTTCTTTGGGTTTTAGTTGTAGTATGCTGACTACTATTTTCAGAATAAGCTGATTGAAGAACCTACTAGTGGAAAAACATGTTAAATGTCATTTTAATGGGTTGTATTCCCAAACAACTGAATCAAAATATGTATAGCTGATATGTATTTTCAAAATTTTTGATTTCAGCATCCTAGTTAAAGTTAGCTACAAAAGAATTAAATCACATGCTATTAAAGTTAACTCTATCCTAATTTAGAATTTACAATAAAATTGAATAAAATTCATCAAACTTAACTCATATTTCTTTTTTAAACTGAAATTTGTTTTCGAAATATTTGATTTTTGCATTCTATTTGCAGTTAGCAACACAACTTCTTATATTCATCATTCAATTTTTAAGTCAAGTAACTTCTAATTAATTACACAAGAATATAACCACACACTATGGAAGTAATCCATCCTCTAATATCAAATTTGCAATTAAAATGTGAAGAAAAAAAATTTCTAACTTAAAACGTATTTTTCTAATTAAAATGTATTTCCAAAATGTTTGATTTAGGCATTCTATTTGCAGTTAGCAACACAACTTCTTATATTCATCATCCAATTTTTCCATCAAGCAACTTATAATTAATTACACAAGAATCTAACCACATATTATAGAAGTAATCCATCCACTAATTTCAAATTTGCAATTAAAATGTTAAAAAAAAAATTTCTAACTTAAAACTTATTTTTCCAATTAAAATGCGTTTTCAAAACGTTTGATTTAGGCACTCTATTTGCAGTTAGGAACAGAACTTCTTATATTCATCATCCAATTTTTCCATCAAGCAACTTATAATTAATTACTCAAGAATATAACCACATACTATGGAAGTAATCCATCTTCTGATTGCAAATTTGCAATTAAAATGTTAAACAAAAATGTCATACTTAAAACGTATTTTTCTAATTAAAATGTATTTTCAAAACGTTTGATTTAGGCATTCTATTTGCAGTTAGCAACACAACTTCTTATATTCATCATCCAATTTTTCCATCAAGCAACTTATAATTAATTACACAAGAATCTAACCACATACTATAGAAGTAATCCATCCTCTGATTTCAAATTTGCAATTAAAATGTGAAGAAAAAAATGTCAAACTGAAAACGCATTTTTCTAATTAAAATGTATTTTCAAAATGTTTGATTTAGGCATTCTATTTGCAGTTAGCAACAAAACTTCGTATATTTATCATCCAATATTTCCAGCAAGCAACTTATAATTAATTACTCAAGAATATAACCACATACTATGGAAGTAATCCATCCTCTAATATCAAATTTGCAATTAAAATGTGAAGAAAAAAAATTTATAACTTAAAACGTATTTTTCTAATTAAAATGTATTTTCAAAATGTTTGATTTAGGCATTCTATATACAGTTAGCAACATAACTTCTTACATTCATTCATCATCCAATTTTTCCATCAAGAAACTTATAATTAATTACACAAGAATATAACCACATACTATGGAAGTAATCCATCCTCTGATTTCAAATTTGCAATTAAACTGTGGAGAAAAAAAATTTCAAACTTAAAACGTATTTTTCTAATTAAAATGTATTTTCAAAATGTTTGATTTAGGCATTCTATATGCAGTTAGCAACACAACTTCTTATGTTCATCATCCAATTTTTCCATCAAGCAACTTATAATTAATTACACAAGAATATAACCACATACTATAGAAATAATCCATCCTCTGATTTCAAATTTGCAATTAAAATGTTAAAAATAAATTTAAAGCTTAAAACGTATTTTTTTTAATTAAAATGTCTTTTCAAAATGTTTGATTTAGACATTCTATTTGCAGTTAGCAACACAACTTGTTATATTCATTCTCCAATTTCTTCATCAAACAACTTATAATTAATTACACAAGAATATAACCACTTACTATGGAAGTAATCCATCCTCTGATTACAAATTTGCAATTAAAATGTTAAACAAAAATGTCATACTTAAAACGTATTTTTCTAATTAAAATGTATTTTCAAAATGTTTGATTTAGACATTCTATTTGCAGTTAGCAACACAACTTCTTATATTCATCATCCAATTTTTCCATCAAGCAATTTATAATTAATTACACAGGAATATAATCACATGCTATGGAAGTAATCCATCCTCTGATTTAAAATTAAAATGTTAAATTTTTTTCCAAACTTGCCGCGTATTTTTCTAATTAAAATGTATTTTCAAAATGTTTGATACAACTAGTTATATT